CTTTCCTACGAAAACTGGCTGAGAGAATTGGGGTTGTTCAGCCTGGAGAAGAGGCGGCTTCGGGGAAGCCTTATAGCAGCCTTCCAGTACCTAAAGAGGCCTACAAGAAGGCTGAAAAGGGATTTTTTACAAAAGTATGTAGTGACTGGAGAGGGGGATGGTTTTAAACTGTAAGAGAGTAGGTTTAGATTAGATATTGGGAATAAATTCTTTACTGTGAGGGTGGTAAGGCACTGGAACAGGTTGTCCAAAGAAGTTGTGGGTGCCCCATTCCAGGAAGTGTTCAAGGCCAGGTTGGATGGGGCTCTGAGCAGTCTGGTCTAGTGGGTGTCCCTGCCCATGGCAGAGAGGTTGGAACTAGATGATTTTTAAGGTTCCTTCCAACCCAAAGCACTCTTATTCTATAAGAGGAAGTGAAATGCAAAAATAGTAGTTTTGGCAGCTTAACTGTACAGGTACTACCCAACCCATGCAAGGGATGGGGTGATGTGGGCTTCTTTCTCCTCCCTCTGCCCCTTATTTAAAAGCAAAACTTCGTCTTGTGGATGGACACAAGCCTTTGCATTTAATGGATTGTTTGAATGAAGTGAGAAGTGGATGCTTTGCAAAGCAGTGGGACACTGGATGCACAAACTCATTAATGTAGCAGTGAGCCTTCCTTGAGCTAGGTGTGCTTTCGCATTGGAAGCCACGTTCATCTGTGACTTCAGCCACTTTGGTATCCCACAGCAGAATGTAGAAGTTAACTCCAGGCCTGCACCACACCTTAGAACACACAACACAGTACAGATGAGGAGACAGGAGTGTGTAATTCAGGATACTATAGCGTGGGGCGTTTATCACCTTGCAGGCACTTTGAGGCATGGCTCATAGTCACAAATGCCAATTCTAGGGTCTTAGAAAATCAGTGAAGACTTCTCAAAAATATGTGGCAATTCAGAACAGAAGCTAAGATTAATATCCAAGAAGAATGGTTCAAGTATTTAAAGTTTCCCTTTTCACAGTAGCTGTAAGGCACAGTATTTCAGTGGTTGCTCTCCAAAATTAGAACCCCTTACACAGTTTCTCTTATTTGTCTGAAAGTTTGCCTTCAACACCAAATAAAATCTGAAAAATGTGTCCACTTTGATGCTGTTTCAGGAAATCTAGGAACTGGCCAAGATCCATGTGATAGTCATTCCTCAGGCCGTAATCACCATGTGCCTGAAACTGCAGGTCTTCAAAACCATGAAAGAGACGAATATCATCAATGTTTCCCCCTGTTTCTATGTTGTCCACATGCTTGCATGAAATATGCTTCCAGTTGGGATATCTAATAACACGCCAGAACTCTTCACAGTTTTCTTGGAGCCCCTCCACACAGATGACACCAGGTTTCCCAGTTAGGCAGAAGCCAGTCAGATTTAACTTCTTTGCAGAGTCAAAAATCTTTTTTCTCAATTCCTGCCTGTATATATGGTGGCTGTAGATCCACATGCGATGCAAAAATTCTTTAACTCTGACTTCTTTTGAAGCATGTTCAGAAGAGATTTTACTGTTTTCCAAGTAAGGCAGGCTGTTGTCCTTCACCCACTGCACAGCTTCACATATACAAAGATCACCTGAATCCAGAGAGCTGATGTAAGAAGTGAGACGGGTGTTGAGCTGCAACTGTTGCTGTCTGTGCAGCGCATCTGATCTGGCAAAAAGCTGAGGAGCTACCTGAGGATACATATGAGGAAGGTGTACCTGCAATTCCACCTTTACCTTAAAAACAGAACACACACACACAGAAAATTAATTCTGTAGCTAATGAAGGCATGCTAGATTCTTCTTCCCTGTCAAAGGCAAATTATGAGATGTAACTAAGATTGCAGTATCCCAATGACTGCAATTACTTTCACTTTCCTTTTGTCTCAATAGCCCATTCTTTTGTCTGTTCCTTTTCTTTTATTGCATCATGCTGTCACTTTCCCAAAATTTCTCATGATATCCAGGCTGCTCTTCTGCTGGTCACAGAACTAATGCTATGGCTTGGGAGAAGGTACCCAGTTACCCTCTAGGGATATATCTTGTGTGTTCTCAGTATGTGCTCAGTGTTGCTACAGTGATGACCTATGAATCTGTTAGGGGCTTTTGAGAATCTTATCCCTTACCAACGCACATTTGATCAATGAACTTAGGCCAGTTGCTGGATCTACCCCAGGAAAACAAGGCCAAGAGTTGCATGAAACAGCATTTATGATTGTACATACCGTATACAGAGACACATGGCAGGGGGGGTGGTGGAACTAGATGATCTTTAAGGTTGCTCCCAACCCAAACCATTCTAAGATTCTATGCATTATTATTATTATTATTAAATTTTAAGCAAGTATTCACAATAAAGGGGAAGTATTCTCAGGATTATAGGGGATAAAAAGATTTATGTGCATTTTAGGTCAGGGAAATATCTAGATTATCTTGTCTGATCTCCTATGAACTCTGGGCTGTTGAATTTCTCTTGATTATTCCTACAGTGCCTTCAAACGGAGCACCACAGTTCTTTGGAAACTGAACCCTGTCTCTGGTTCAAGAGCAGGAGAGGATTTATGTCCTCAGTGCTTGAGGCTCCTGTAGACCTTTAGAGGATTCTCACTAGAGTGTACAATCACATGATTAGTCCTGCAGAGAAAAGTGAAATGTGAAATGACTAATTATCTTTCCAAGTTCCTTGACAATCTGCCAATAGGTACAAGCTTAGGTATCTTTCTAAAATGCACCCTTTCACCAGCCTTCAGAGAAAAGTTCTATGAACCGTGTAGGAAGGGCTTGTACTGGAGTAGTGGGTTTTTTTTCTAAGTTTCCAAATAATCACGAGGCCACCTCATTACCCAGTAAATTCTTCTAATGTTTAATTATCCTGGTCTTGAGAAAAATGGCTTCTAGGCTGAGTTGTTCTCAATTTCTAGTCATTGCATTATTATACACTCAGACCTATGTTCTCTGTGCAAGTATTTACATTACTTACTTGTCATATTGTAGCCCTTTCTTCAATCAGATAAACTATTATCACTCCTTATACTGTAAGTTTGGTTTCCCTGCTCATAGGCTGGTTTTGTTTTAGTGTTTGTGTGACTCCTCTTAATTTTATTCTGCTATGTGGGGCTATTTTTACATTACTGTATTTCAAATGCACACCAATGAATGTCAGTACATGTGCAAAGGGTGGAAGAGAGAAATAATAGAGTGATTTTGCTAGAATAATGTAAAATCCAACATAGGTATTCCCATGCAGGGAACATTGCCTTTGAAATGCACAGCTATTTGTAAACCAGTAAACTCTGATTTCACAGCCTCTTGTGAATGCTGTGTGTGCCATTGATATTGGTGTCTATTCCTATGTGCCATTCTATTAGCCTTTATTGACCAGAGAAAGTTAATACTCAAATAAATAACAGCCAAGACTTTTCTGTTACTCTTGGCTTTTGAAAAAGCAAACAAAAATAAGGTGGGTTTTTCCCCCCTTTTTTCAGAGTAGAGTTTTCAAGTGTATGTAGGAGTAAAGAAAACAACACACATGAACACGTCTACTTGGCAGTTCTTACCTTCGCCTCCCCTACATCAAGAGCGATGCAATATTCGAGCTGCGGGGGCAGAGCTCCATCAGAGTTTTTAAGGTAGCGCTGGACGCTGGGCACGGCATCTTTATCCAGATTGATTTCACCTCTTTTGGGAAACATCGAAAGGAGCATTTCCACTTCCAGCAGCTGGAGCTCCAGGCATTCTTTTACCGTGACAGCCATCGCGCTGTCCTCCACGCCCGCCTGGAACGAGAGGCCTGGAGTCAAATCCCGGTGCTTAGGACACGGTGAGGTTTAGCACCACGTCACAACGCAACAAGGAAGCCCCACGATTCTTTAAGGGCAGAATTTGATTAAACACGGCTGGGCACACAGCGCTCAGCAGCCAGTCCCTCGCAGGAGCGCTCCACACACGCCGGGCAGGGCTGGCACCTGGGTGCTCCACAGAGCCAGGCGGAACCGTGCCGGGCTCAGGGACGGGAAAGAGCCCAGGCTGGAGACCCGCGTCAGTGTGCGCGGGCAGGAACGGCCGCGTCTGCGTGTCGTGGTTCAACTCCAGCCAGCAGCCGAGGTCCGGGATCCCTCCACCCGCGGGATCGGGGGAGAATCGGAAGGGCAACAGCCAGAAAAACCGTGGGTTTGAGATAAAAGCAGTTTAATATGAAAAACAAATGCCGCGCACATAAGCAAAGCAAAACCAGCATTAATTCAGTGGGCAGGGAGGTGTTCAGGAGAGCAGGGAGATGTGTAACGGTGGCTTGGGAAGACAAACGGCATCACTCCGAACCCCTTCCTCCTTCTTCCCCACACTTTATATACTGAGCTTGATGTCACACGGCCTGGAATAACCCTTTGGTCAGTTGGGGTCACCCGTCCTGGCTGTGTCTCCTCCCAACCTCCCACGTACCCACAGCCGCCTCGCCAGCGTGGCAGTACGGAAAGCAGAAAAGGCCTTGGCTCTGTGTAAGCCCTGCTCAGCAATAACAAAAACATTTCTACATTATCAACCCTGTGTTCAGAACAAATCCAAAACACAGCCCCGTACCAGCCACTGCGAAGAAAAATAACTCCGCCCCAGAGAAAGCCAGCACACTGGGGCGGCAGTTTGGAGTCCGAGCGTGACGTCAGTGAAGCTGTGCAAGACTGGATATCCCCGAGAGCCCGACCCGTCCCAGACACAGCCGGATTTTCCCGAAGGAGCGGGGCAGGGGCGCGGTGCGCTCGGCCCGGCCGCGGCTCTGAGAGGGGTGGGCGTGGCCCGGGCGCCACGTCGCAGACTAAGCCCCGCCCATCTCGTGGCCATTGGTCGGTTGCACAGCCTGTGGGCGTGGCCGCGCCGGCTCCGTGAGGGGCGCGCGGCGGCAACGGGGTCGGAGTGGGTTTGTCGTGTCCCGTCTCTTCCCGTCCCTTCCCGTCCTGTCCCTCCCGGCAGGTGGGTCCGGGCGTCGGCGCCGCGGGATCCCGAGGGCATCAGCCGTGCAGGGAGACGGCTGCGGAGGCGCCCGTCGTGGCGTGTGTCCGGCCGGCCCCGCCCAGCCCTTCCCGGCCCGGCGGCTGTGTGCGCTTCTGGTGGCCGTGACCGGGTGGGTCCGCACGGAGCGCCTCGGCAGAGCCGCCGCCCGAGGGAAACGTCCCGGGGACACTGCTGGGGGATTCCCTACAAGGGCTTGGAGAGGGGGGGCAGGCTGCTTTGGGGATCGAGAGTTAGTCTGAGGGGTCGCGGCCGAGCGTGGTGGGCGCTGATGTTGCGGTGAGAAGCGGGCGGGAAGTTGTCGGGACCCCTGGATCCAGCCGACCGGGAATCGCGGCTCTCCTCGCCTCCTCCGTGCGTGATCTGTTTAAATCCGGTCGAGCTCTGTTTATCCAGTGCTGTACAGGGAACGTAGAGGATCCTTCACTCTGGTGGTGCCTGGCTGCACTCCCACCAAGGGACTTGATACGAGTGGTTTAAAGTATCCTGTGGGCTTCAAAGTTAAAAACGTGGAACTAATTACAATGACTTGAGTTCTCTCACTTCTATCCGTGTTACTTCCTGCTCTAGAAATGGATCCCGAAGCCCTTAGAAAATACTCAGCCTTACATCCCAAGCCTGCCGGCCTGGCTCTGCAGTATGGCACTGCTGGATTTCGCACCAAGGCCCAGCAGCTGGATCACGTCATGTTCCGCATGGGCCTGCTCGCAGTCCTCAGGTCCAAAGCCGTGGCAGCAACTATTGGTGTCATGGTTACAGCATCTCACAACCCTGAGGTAAGATCAGCCTTTTCCTTAAACGTGTGACCAGTTTGGTGGAGTGGTGTGAAATGTTTTGGTAGAATGATGGAAAGATGTGATCAGTTTGGTGGAATCAAAGCTCATCATGGCACTGAGAGACCAGATACTGAAGACACTTGGACCTACTTAAAGCACACATTTAGCCTGCTCCCTGTAAATATGATCTCTGGCATATTTGAAGTTACTTTTCCCTCTGACCCAAGTGTCATTTTTTCTTATGTGGAAATGGTGTAACATAGAAAACATTTTATGTTGCAACGTAACTTTTTGATGTTATCAAGCTAGGAGCACCCTTGAGAAGGGAGGAACTTCTGAGCAAAATTTGTAAGTTTTAAAAATAAACACCCAAATGCAGCAATTACAAATCAGGCACTTAGACTTATTGCTGCTGTGGAGCATTGCAGTTTATTTGAATCTCCCCTTACATCATTGCAATGTCAAATTAGTTTCATACCAAAATTACAAGGGGGAAAAAGTTGGTTACTTAATATGCTGGTTATGGTACTTTTGGGGGCCTTGTTGGAGGTTTAAATAAACAGCTAAGCTTTTGCATCTCAGCACTTCTCCACCTTTAAAGAAGCAATGTGATTGAACCATATGTTGGCTGTCGTCAAAGAGATTTTACTAAGTTCCCCACTTGTAGACTTAGTATCTTTTGTTCTTTTTTTTTTCTACTAAGGAAGACAATGGCATAAAGCTGGTTGATCCTCTTGGAGAAATGCTGCACCCTTCCTGGGAAGAGTATGCCACACAACTAGCAAATGCAGAGGAGCAAGAATTACAGGAAGTGATAAGTGAGATCTGCCAAAAAGCAGAAGTGAACCTGCACAAAGATGCTTTGGTTTTTATTGGTAGAGACACCAGGTAGTTACAAAATGCTGTAGATGTATGCTGCTTTTATAGAGGTGCCAGTGCTGTGTTCATGGGTGCTTTTGGGGTGCTTTGCCCCCTGCAGTCAGATTATGCTTTTTCTATGCCTAAATTTATGATTATAGCAATAAGCAGAAGTTTTCCAATGCTGTTCCTATGTTAGCTGCCCTGATAGCTACGAGAACTTCTTATCACTGTTTCTGGACGCGATGCTTTATTGTGATGTGGGGTTTTTTTGTGGGTACTGTGGGATGTCCACCTATGTTCAGCAGTTTACTTGTCTTTGCAATTCCCTGGGGGTTGGCTTTCAAACTTCTTTATTGAGAAATGCCTGCAATATAGAAAAAGATATGGATTTCTTCACTATGAGTCTAAACTTACTGACAGGAAGTTTGTACAGTCTTCCACATGTCTCTTTCCCAAGTCCATACCTAAATGTCTTTGCAAAGGTTATCAGTTGTATTTGTTGTTTTCCAGGCCAAGCAGCGAGAAACTCTCCCAGTCAGTAATAGACGGGATTCTTGTTCTGGGTGGTCAGTACCATGGTATGTTAAACTTCTGCAATTCTAGCTTGATTCAAGTTTTTTGTGTAGATGTGACTCTTTTATATAGGTCTAAGGCAGTAGCCCAGACACATTTCCATTCTTTCTTGTAACAGTGTCCTTTCAGGGTATTCGTATGGCTTTAATGCAAGGAGGGGTGGGGGTGGGAGTCATCTTTTTGCAACAGAACTTCAAAAATTTCATATGTATTTCCTGCCCTGCATTTGTCTGTATACCGGGCAACTTTGAATCAACAGTTAATTTGCAATTCTATTTCTGAATATTATGCCTTTTATTTCATGCTAGATTATGGTCTGGTGACAACACCACAGCTACATTACATGGTCTGCTGTCAAAACACCCAAGGGCTGTATGGGAAAGCAACACTGGAAGGCTATTATGAAAAACTATCCAAAGCTTTTATGGAACTGATAAAACAGGTGAATAGTGGGTGTTGTCTTTTTCATGCAAATGTACAAAATTATTATCTTCTGATTGTTAGCCTACTTGGGCCTGAATTTTGGAATTCAGCTTGCCTCTAGTTGTGGTTTCACTAGGGCAAGGGTTCACTTTGCCCCTTCTTTCCTTGTGCTAAGTCTCACAGCTCTGGAGAGTGTCAGAGGCACCTGAAGATTGACTGTGCCAATGGAATAGGAGCCCTGAAACTATCAGAAATGAAGCCCTACTTTCCACAAGAGGTGCTAATTCACATATATAATGATGGAACCAAGGAGAAACTCAATCATTTATGTGGTGCAGATTTTGTGAAAGTTCATCAGAAACCACCCAGAGGTATGTAGTTGGTAATTTTATATCACTTTACCTCCTCTCCAGGCCTGAAAGCGCAGGGTCTGGCAAGGGTGCATCATCCTCAGATCAGCTGCGCTCCCTATTTCTTACTAGTGACTGCATGAATGGTTCTGCTGGTGCAATGGAAAGAGAGAATCGTATGGCCAGGTTTGGCTCAGCTCTAGTTTATGTTAAACTGTTTGGAGGAGTACAATATCTCTCTTGAGTGGCTGAAGTATGTTTGACAATCTGTTCTGAATGTTAAGCTGGTGGAGTCCAGAGATCAGTCAGGACTGGCTTAATGTTGTTTATTTTGCTTCCCTTTGTGATATGAAGAAACATTCATGTTGTGGGCTGGGCTTGCAGACACTTTTTCGAGTTCCTGAAGAAGATCTGGGATAATTAACAGCTTGATGCCAGCAGACCGGCATATTGACATATTAGTGACTGACATAAACCAGAGAGGAAATTATTTGAGCTGATTTCCTGCAAAGTGGATAAAAGAAAATCCCTGAACTGGAAGAGCAGGGTGGTTTGGATATGAGGTTACTTGAGGTTAAAATGGGTTCTCCATTGGACAACTGCATTCTCACTGCAACTGCTGGCCAAATCTGAACACCAAATTATGGTGTGGTTTCTCCTTCCCATGCTGCTTGTGTGCTGGAGAAATGGCAGCACAGTGGGAGCAGCACAGTGTCAGTCACTGCTGGGGATGGAGGCTTGTGTGTCACCTCTGGATCCTGGCTTTAACTGCCTGATGAGAGACTCTTTGGTCATTTCCATGCAGGGCTGTGCTTTGAAAAGAAAATAGGTTTTCCTAATCACTCACTGAAACAAATTATCTGATTTTTCTGAAGGGTTAGGTGGTATCAACTTCCTGTTTAAAGTCATAGGGAGTCTCAGCTTGTTAAATGTTGCAGTTGTCATTACCTCATGCTTTGGCTTCAGGACCTCACTGGCACTGGGATTTAGTGTCCTGTATCACTTCAGGCAAGCAGGAGAAGAAACAGGCAAGGTTTGGGGTATAATTTCCTGTGCTCTGAAGAGCAAGATGTCACCAAGGTGGGCCAATTTTTCTGTCTGCTTGTGTACTAAAATATTTTTTCCAAGAAGGGGCCACAGGATGTAGCATGTCCTTAGGAGCTCCCTGCTGGGTTCCTGGTGGACTCTCAAACCAGCCTAGAGAATGGCCAGCTGCAGTTTCTGAGAAATAGACCCTGAGGTTAATGTGACCTTATGACATCTAAAGAAAAGCAAGATTTACCTTAACTAAAGCAATTCATTTCTGTGTGGCATTGCTGTGTCAGCGAGGACTGTTTCCTAACTGTTTCTCTCTTGGAATTAAGCCTGGAAAGTTTTTGAGGCAGGTACTCCTTATGCATTGTATACATTGTTGTGTAAGTTTAATATCAAGCACACTAAATGTGAGGCATTTTATAGCCAGCACATCCACTTGTATATTTTTTGTACAGCTCTAAGAAATCTTGGTGATGGCTACTTTGGAGAGGGGTAGTTTTTTCAATGTTTGGATTTATGTGCCACCTCCTGTTGTAATTGTATTTCAGCGATGGCTTTGCTGGTGTGGGGGTGCATGTTTGCCTTGCATTAGGAAAGACATCAAAGGGGAGGAGCAGGTCTGGCAAGTGGGAATGGAATAAAATTAAACAGGCCAGAAGTATTTCCTGAGGAAAAGCATTTCTTGATACAAGGGAAAAATAATTAATTGTTGTCTTGGAGGGTGAAGTACGGAGTACGCAGAGGACCAGCCATGAGCAGGGAAGTGCAGTGACATGGCCCCAGAGTCCTCCTCTGCCTGGATATAGTTTGTCTCCTCGCTCAGGGCTGCACAGCGTGCCACGCCCTGCTCAGAGGAGCAGTGAGGGAGGGCTGGGTGTGTGCCCATGTCCAGCTAAGGCCACTCAGCTTCCACTCAGCTGCCTCAGGCTCCTGCCCAGGTGTCAGGCAGGGCCCCAGGTGTCACAGCAAACATGGGCTGGCTTTGCCGCGCAGTGGGGGACAGCGACTCTCCTCCGTCTGAAGGTGATGTGTATGGTCTGTCTGTGGTGTATGGATGTCTGCTTGCTGGTGACTGGGTGTGTAAAATAAGGGGTGGGTGTTCCGCTGCTGCAAGGTTTTTAACCTTGTGCCATCACTGATACTCAGCCCTTATTTCCGAATTTTAGGGATGTGACTATACGCAGTTGTTCTGGGACTGCTTTTCATACATTTCTGAGGAGAAGGTGTATTATCATTAATGTTTAGAGAACCTGCATTTTTGATGTTAGTATTTATATTTTTGATTTGAATATGCACTTCAGTTGCCATTCAGTACAGATTCCCTGTTACATGTCTCTCAGTCTGAGAGCGTTATTTTTGTGTGTTCACAGAGCTAATTTCCTTATGAGATCCACTCTGGGACTAATTTGAGCACTTTGTGGTTTTTTCTGTCTCTAACTTGCATTTGTAACTGTGTGTGCACTAGGGCTAGACATGAAGCCCAATGAGAGATGCTGCTCCTTTGATGGCGATGCAGATAGAATTGTTTATTACTATAAGGATGCAACCGGCCATTTTCACCTAATTGATGGAGATAAAATAGCAACTTTAATTAGTATCTTCCTTAAAGAACTTCTTGCCAAGGTAACTTTACAAACTAAAGTGCCACCATTCACTTCATATGTTAAAGGGTAAAAGAGTCTGAAGAACTTGGTTGTGGCAGTCAAGGGTTTGTGTGTTATCGTTCCCAAACCACTCTCTGCCACATAGCATCCTCTCCGCACAAGGGATAGAGAGAAAAAGCTTTTCTTTTTTTGCAGAAGTCCTCTTGGACTCAGTGTCTATGATACTGAACCTAGACAAGGCAGCCTGGTTTTGTTTTCTCAGAGACCAGTTCATTTCTGTGTCAGAGAAGCTGGCCAGTGAGGAGAACTTGTGCTTGCCACCAGTCTGTGCTTACTTTGCACTGGAAGCTTTGACTTTACTGCTTGTGTGTGTGGCCTCATGTAATGCCATGTGTCTGGCCTGTGCACAGAGCTAACTGAATCTGAAAAAGCAGTAGGGAAAGTCTGAGCTTGGAGAGCTGCTTCAGCCAGCCACAAGAAAAAACGAAACAGGATATACAAAGACTTGGACAGAATTCATGGTGTTTTAAACATAAAAAGTTCTCTGTGAACTCCTGCCTTCCTCTGATGCCCAGGAGTTTTAAGTGTATGTTTAACAATTCTAATTATTCTTCAATTTATCCTACTTGTTTGGCTATGGGCCCATAGTACACTAAAGCACTTGGCTTCTTGGTTTGCTCAGGTGAGACAGAACTTCAAGATGGCCGTGGTACAAACAGCGTATGCCAATGGGAGTTCGACACGCTACCTCGAGGAAACACTAAAGGTATTCTCCATATTTTTCCTTGCTAGTTTCCTGCAAATGTTATTTAATGCAAATTTGTTTACTTTTAAAATAAATGCTTCTGTAATATGATTGTTGGAAAACTTTAATTGGGTGAAAATAAATTACTCCTTCGAAGCTGCAGTACTGACTAAATTCTTGGTGCCAAAGGAGACCCAAGAGAGCAAAGCTGAAAAAGTTCCAGTCAGCTTTTACTAATTTAAAAATGTTAAAATCCATTTTTCCGTCTCGAACAAGCTGAGGACTTCATAACTTTGCAGCAAAGTGAGTTAGTAAAGGCTCCTTGATACTTTGACACTGAGTTTAATTTTCTGCAACAAGCTAAATGTTGTTCACTACAGAAATTGAGCAGAGGTGTTATTTCTGTTTGTATAGGAATCTGTTGTGTTCCCTGAAGCCATAAGCTGAATTGGGTTTTTCTAGCTTTGGAGTTTGTTTCTTGATTTCTTTCATTAGCCTTTATTTACACTTGAATAAATGAAATCTTTTTTAATTGGGTCTGCAGAAATAGTGGATAATATTAGCTCTGCAGAGTCAGTGGCTGTGAAACATAGGTTAGTTTGTAACAGTCTATCCAGTTCTATCCAGGTTGGTGCTCAGTTCCTGCACTTCACTTGACCTGCAGTTCCCACCTTCTGAGGACAGTCTGTAACATCATTGTCATTCTCTGCATATCCTTGGGCTGCAGGTACCTGTGCACTGTGTCAAAACAGGAGTGAAACACTTGCATCACAAGGCCCAGGAGTTTGATGTTGGTGTTTATTTCGAGGCAAATGGACATGGTACAGTAAGTGTGACCATGTAATGCATATGATCAGCCAATATGTACAAAATTTTAGTTAGACTAGCTGGAAAAGAATGTCTTTTCACTCTCTGCTTACTTTTATAAACTAGACTTTTCTCTCCTTGTTTGAAAACAGACTTGTTTTCCCCTTCTGTCTTTATCATAGCATTGCCACCGGGTTCTCTGTGGTTTATGTGGGCATGGGAATTCATGATAGCAAATATTAATGATGATTATTTGGGCTTAGATAGTAAAAATTTTTTCCTTGTTGCTGCACATATCCTAATTTGATCTTGACGAGCTCTCATCTTTTTATTCCAGGTATTATTTAGTAAATCTGCTGAAACTAAAATAAGACAATTGGTGAAAGAGGAGAAGGATGATGAAAAAAGAGAAGCAGCAAAGGTGCTTGAAAACATGATTGACCTGATTAATCAGGTAAAAACTGGGAGAAATTAATCGCTATGTTGGCAGTCATGAGGCTAATCCTGTTTGTGAGTTCCTGTCAGGCTACTGCTGGGGACTGCTGGAGCAGGAAGTCGGGTGCCATGATAGAAGGGGCCAAGAAGAGGAGAGTGGGACCAGTCTTCAGAAAGATGTGATACTTTCTCATGAGTGGCTGCAGAATGCTTTTATCTGGTGCAGTCTGCTGGCTGCAGGACGTAGAGGGAGTGGGATAGCACGGGAACCTAGTGCTAGGATGTGACTCGTTCATGATTCAACAAGTGGTAATCTTTTGTCTGAAGTTTTTCACTAAGTTATATAGTACAGGAGGATGGGGGTGTTCCAGTGCCTGGATCCACACAGCCCTCGGACTCCGTGTCTTAGCACAGATGTTATTTGTCTGTGGTAGTGCCAGAGACCCCTGAACAGCGGTGAGGTGCCAGTCCTCCTTAGGAGAGGTGAGGACTATCACTTGCCCTTGGCAGAGCTGTACAAATCTGCTGCTGTTCTTACCTTAGGGGCAGCGTGGTATGGGCAACAAAACCAACATTCCTCCCCTCTGCAACCAAACCAACCAAGCTCAGCTACACTGGGCAAGTTGACCTGGCTGTACTTGCACTCTTCAGCTGGAAGCTTACTGATCAAATCCTGCCTTCCTTTCTTCACTGTTGACTGCTCCAGTGTTTCTTCCCTTTCTGTTAACAGACTGTTGGCGATGCCATCTCAGACATGCTGGTTATTGAAGCAATCCTGGCCTTGAAAGGTCTGACTGTGCAACAGTGGGATGCCCTCTACACTGACCTTCCCAATCGGCTGCTCAAAGTTCAGGTGAGTTACACACCTTGCTGGCTCAGGTTACAGCAGCATCTCGGGGCCCTACTGTAAGCATCTTGTGCCTGTAGATATTGAGATAGGCTTTATTTTTAAGCTGAAACAGCCCATTAAAGGGCAGAAGTAGGCCAAACAAGCCATGAAATGACCCAGGAGGGACCAGAATTTAACTTGGACTAAGATAAAAATACAACTTACAAAAATGATGAAATAACAGCCAACTATGTTAAATGGAAAAACCTGACCAGAACTCTTCAAATTTTAGCCTAATTTTTTCCTTCTTAACTTTCAAATTAGAAAAATCCCATTTTTCTAAGGGCCCTGCTTGCTGGGCAGCTGGATTTTTCTTGCTGTGCCACTTTGTATAACTTGAATGTTCAAGCTCTCACTTCTTTATCCTCTCCAATATTCAAAGAGCTTGAGCAGAACAGGCTGCCATGTGGTAGCATTCTATTAGACAAAGTAAGGAAGCTCTGGGCTTTAAATTAACCAGAGGAGAGAATTTCAGCTTTCTGATCTACTGGGAGAAGCTGCAGCTTCACTTCAGAGTCTGACGAAGGAGGCAGGTTCAGAACTGACCCTTTTCCAAACTGAGCAGCTGAGCCCTGTCAGGACATGGTTAATACATGCTGAGCAGGGATCCTAGGGATCCCAAGTGTTTGAGTAGCCCTTTAATAACTCTCAAATTGAACTCTTCTTCAGGCAACACAACAGATCGAAACCTGAATTTATGTCTTATCCACGACACAAATAAATTGTTTCTGTTGCTGCAGGTTGCAGACAGGCGTGTTATTGACACAACGGATGCAGATAGACGTGCGGTTACACCTCCGGGACTGCAGGAGAAAATTGATGCCCTTGTAAAGAAGTACAAGTTATCACGAGCTTTTGTCCGTCCATCAGGAACAGAGGATGTCGTTAGAATATACGCTGAAGCAGACACACAGGTCAGTGCTTAAACATCTTGTTTATGTTAAACAATGTTCTCCTTAGCATGTAGTATGCTTACATACTTCTCATTTAATCACACTTAACAAATGCCAAATTTGGAAAAAAAAGACTTAATGATCACAAAAAGTCTCTTTGGATTTTCTTTTATTTAGAAAAGTAATGTTTCATGTTCTCAGTGTTTATCTTTAAAAGGAAAATGTGTTTATAAAGGCAGATTTGACACTAGATGATTTTGAAAAGCTTTCTGAGATCTCAGGGTTAAGAAGAAAGTTACCAAAGCACTGCCTAATTGCATGATTTCAGAAGAGGCAAAATAGAAAAAAAATTCTTGCTGCTGTTAAGTTAGTCCACATCTGAACTTAAAGTTGACAGTAAAAGCAGTGGTCCTGCTCTACCTCCTTCACATGCTCTGGCCTGCTTCTCCCTGCCAGCATGATGGCTGTGGCAGAAGATACCTCAGGCTGATGGAGCAATACAGGGAGCACAGCATTTGCAGGAAAATGCTTGCCTTAATATCACATATTTGGTCTAACCTTCTCATGGTGACAGCAGCATAACTAAGTTTTCCAACATTCCACAGGAGAATGCGGATGCCCTTGCCCATGAAGTAAGCCTGGCCGTTTACCACCTCGCTGGTGGAAAGGGAGCACCACCCCAGCCTATATAACGAATGATACAACAGCAGTTAAATTACACAGCTTTGCTTATCTTTTAATATTACTTTTTTTACCACGTGCTCTTGTGCACGTACTGAACCCTTCCTGGGATAACAAGCATTGATCAGAACTGAACAGAATATTTTTCCATTTATTCTTTACCTCCTTTAGCAACTTACCTCTTAATGAGATGCACTTGCTGCTGAATGTTCCCCTCCCCAAGTTTGTCTAAGTTCTTGACAGGCCATGGCCATGCCTAGAAGGAAATCTGCCCCAGCCCAGCTTAATTCATTGTCACATTGTGCCTGAAATCCAGCTCCCGTACCCTCAGAGCACTGGCCATGGCTGCATGACTGGAGCTCTGCTGTGACTGTGCTCACAGTGGCTGCAGCACAGTGCCTGCTGCAGGAACATCATCCCCACCTTCCCACAGCAGCCCAGTCATCTGTGGGCAAACAGCATAAGGCACAGGCTGTCACTAGTCTTCAGATTCAGTTTACCTCAGTTCGAGGGGGAAACAATAAAATAAAAAAGAACATTTGCAAATAATAACTTATTATTGCAATATTATCTTCATTAGATACTTTGTGAAATTAATTAGAAAGTGATTTGCAGTAATAGCATTTATAATCACACTTAAGAGGGAAGGGACAGAGACAAGTTTGTCTTCTGTGGCCCTTACTGCTGCCCAGCACCATGAAGGGGCTGGGTCAAGGGATGTAGTATTTTAAACACACAAGTGTCCTCCTCAGCTTACTTTGATTCAGGGTGTCTACCTCTGACGTTGTTCTTGTAGTCCTGTATTAACTCCTGACATAATGGCATTTTCCAGATTATTAAATAAGCACAAGTTCTAATAGATTTAAAAAAAAAAGACAGAAATAAACTGGAAACAAATTGGAAAAATGTGCACCTTGTATTTTTTTTTTAGTTTTTTTTAAAGACAGAACTCAAGACAACAAAACATTTACTGCAAATAGTAGGCACCATAATCAATATGAGCCACCAATATTTAAACTTGATTCAGGCCACATCCAGAACTTTTCTCTTATTTACAAATATTTAACTTAAATACAACATTAAGTATTTCATTACATACAAAGTAAGAAAAGAATACTATACACCTGGGAAAGATACAGTATTTCATTTAAATAGTTACACTTCACATAGGCTGCGTAGTACCAGTTTGGTTCATGATTTTATGACACCTTCAAGAAAATCCTTCTCAACCATTTCTTCTATCTTTTGTCTTGCTTTGCTAGAGAAGGTCTTGAGGTTCTCCATTTTTATGTCCTTACTCGGAAAACAGCTGGGGTAAAGGACAGGGCTCCCTGAGTGTCCAACACATCTGCTTGTGACTTTGCTGTTAAACACTTGGCTGAGTACGTTGAAGAAAGGCAAAAGCTGCTCGATGCTGCGAACGGTGTAGATTGTTAAAAGCAAGTGACCTGGTTCCCAACTTAGTGTTTTCCCTGAGCCATCCTCCTCCGGGTTTTTCTGTAAACACAGAGACATGGCAAATAATACAGGACAAAACAGAAAAAGCACAGGTAAAAGTAAAAGAGTCACGTGTAATAAAGTATTTTTCTATATTCCAAAAGTATTTGTCCTATCAACAAGACATATATGCTGGAGTGCAGCTTCCGAAGCAGGTCCCTTGATCACCACACCCTGCAGAAGCGGTGGCTGGGAGTGTACAGGTGGCAGTCGGTCAGCCAGTTGCAGTGGGCATTTGAGCCCAACACCTCATCCCAGGGCTGTCCCAAAGCAAGGCAGCCCCCACCATGCTGCCCTGCAGAGCTGCTCCTGGTGCAGCACCCCATGGGATAACACAAATGGCCCGAACTGGTGACAGCCAGCATTGGCTGCTCAGGGAAGTTGTGAGCTACTTCAGCAGCTTTCATAAGCAGGCTCCTCTCTGGTGACACACACACTTCACCCTACTGCCAGCATCAGTGATGATAAACCCCAGAGGAAGTTAAAATACATACGAAGCATTTTCACTTTGCAGCTTGAGTTCAGAGTTTTCAGGAAGAGCAAAAGCAATGCTGGTTTTAATATCAGAACAGACACTGAGGTTCTGAGAAACACTTGAAGTTGTCCTCAAAGAGAAATGGTTCAGTTACTCGTTACATGCTCTCAGAAGAACTCAGTTATGCTCCTTCCATTCCATGGGAGAATTTCAAGGGAGGGAATTTCAGGAACCCCACAAGCAAAGGCAGCAGTCACATACCAGATGCTCACTGGCAGTATCAGCACACTGCTCTGACCCTGTTTAGGGTTGCCTTAAATACCTGTGTACTGAAATACCTGAGCACCAACATTCTGGTTCTTATATGGTAGTCTTCACTCATTTCCTTTTTCTCTTTGAGTCAAAAAACATATTCAAATCTAGACAATAAGGTACTATCACCACTAGAAACACCTTGTTTGTACTGTTACTGACAAACCAGTACAGGAAAGTTTCTACCATGAAGTAGAATTCCAGCAATACTGAATTTTATTCTGTGAGAAAGAAGAAAAGAAGCGCAAAGGCCCCACTAAGGAGAGCCTGATCCACCCCTGACCAGCACCTCTGTCCCACTGCCCTGGCAGTGCCTGTGGACGAAGCGGGAGTCCGAGACCCCTGCAGGTTGCAGAGCTCCTGCAGAATAGGCTTGGCAATGAAAGCAGAATGAAGGGGAAAGAACAGCAGTGGGAGCAGAGGGCAAGGTAAGACTGACTGCACAGCCTTTGAGCAGAGATGATTCTTCAGCAAATACAGGTTTTACCCTTTAAATGAAGCAACTCCTGCAATTCATGAGCCTATATGACACTTATTTCACAAAACCCAATTTGGTTAAAATTCAATATGGTCGTATATAATATTTTAATCTGGTGGTTTGGCTTCCTGCCACAGGAGATCACTCTTCCAGCTCTACAAGTCTCCACAAAGGAAAAGCTCACACTGAACCAGAAAAAAAGAGAAGACTGAATTTCCAGTACAGAAGGAGTTGTTGATGCCTCCTTCTTTTAATGAAGCTACTAGTTTTTAGAGTTTCTCCTTTAAAAACTTCTCATTGGATTCACAGAAGAGAAGCTTCTCCATATTGGTTCTGTACTGTGCTCAGCATTACCCAGCAGTGAGCAAAGACTGCCTCCAGCACACAGCAGGTGTCAGTGTTACACACCACCCAAACAAATGGGGCGCATGCAAATACTGACTCTCTGAGCAGTGAAATGCAACCCAATCCAAGCCGTTTCCTCATGGCCGTATCTGCTAAGCAAACACCACTAATTCCACAGATACTTAAAACAACAGTTAATTTGACAGAGACCCCGATTAGGGATTGTGTGTTTCATACCTGGTGTTTGACAAAAATTATTTTACAATTTAATTTTATCATGATTTGTGATTATAATTCTTCTTAGAAGTAACAGTAGCTTTTTGTAATCTAATTCATATAGGAAATCAACTTAAATTTATTTTTAAGTTATCTATAAAAACAGGGGTGCTTATGATTCTTTCACCTCAAAAATCTCTCAGCTTTGTTCTACAACAAATCTGATCTCTCTCAGTTCTTACTGAAGGCTAAATAGTGCCCAGGGCCTTGAGGTGATGGTATTATTATGGTGAGCTTGTTTCACAACTCAAGCATCAAAGGCCACCCTCACCTGATGCTTGGCCATCTCCATTCCCTCCAAAACCACCGTCTTAAAGTCCTCCTGTTTGTCCTGTGGAAGGAAAGAGGAGAACTTTCAGACTGCATTTCAGATATGAAAATAATACTTTGCCGTGAAGGCCGTGCAGTTGCTTGGTTGGGTGCTAGAAAAATCACCCGCCCCAAATGAGTGCATGATCCAGAAATGGCAGACTCGAGCTAGTGTGGCCAAGACGCTATTAGACAGAAACAGCACTGCCAGTTTGTTCTTCTGTTTATTTCCAGCAGTGCTGAAGGAGGTTTTTAAGCATGTTTCCCCTCAGATAACACAGCCTGAGCAACACTGTACTACATGAATCTAAGCATTAGTCAGAGTGCCCTGAAAGAAAATTAAGATACACTCCATTTTGCTCATATCAGTTATTTTCTAAGAAAACCCCACAGCTATATGCAACAATATTCTCCTCTGCATAAAGTAGGCCAATATTCACTACATCAGGTTTATCTCATCATCATACGCCTACCTATGGTTCAGTGTGCAACTGCTGCCGTGACTAGGGGGTTCCAGAAATTCCAGGAAGTTTTCTATATTCTTGAAGCATATTGTGGAAGTTCTGATTTCAGAAATCTATCTCAACATACAGTACTTACCATAAGCATGCATATCTTACACATCATATGTGCTTTATAATTCATGCACAGAGACCACTTGGAGTGTGACAGCTTTCTAACAGATACAGCACACTACATTGAACACCAGGGTTAGAGGCTAAGCCTGATGAGCAGTCAGTTAAAACTGATCATTCCTTTATAAATGCAAGAAGAGAAATTTAGTCTCATCTTCATGGTTCAAAAATGATAAAATGAAGAATGCAGATACACTTCAGATACTCGTTTTATCCCCTATAGGTATGAGCCTTGCTCGGATAATTCAGATCTTCCTGCAACTAAGTTATCCCTAAGCTTTATGTAGCCACTTGGATCTCAGCAGTAGTTTCTTTACTATGTAAAAACACTCATTGGAGACTGTAAATGCAGTAGCTGCAGCAAACTGCCAGTGTTACAGCCCAGATCATGCGATCTATTTGGAGGAAAACCTGAGAATAAAACTTCAAAGCTTTCTCCCACATGGCTTTGCACTTCCTCCCTGCTTCTCTGGCCCACCAGCAACCTTTGCCATTGAAGTGCCTGCTCATGGGGGCTCTGTCCTCACAGCGGGAGCAGCAATGTATGTGACAGCAATGGTCTTACTTTGTGGCAGCAGAAGGACTCTCCCTGGGACAAAGTTTGGCCAGCTTCCATCAGCTTCACTAGCGGATTAGGCCTCTGCCTCACCCAAACTGAGGTTTTAATATATCTCATGCAACTTGACAACCCTAGTTCTGCTCCCACTCTACAAACTGTGCAGCCAAGATTTCCCCAGAACTGTTTCTACTGACCTCTGCCTTCTTCCATTTATCATAGCAGCTTCAAGGAAGAAACTCATCCCCACTCCCCCACAGTCTCAGTTTTTAAAATATTTAAATATGATTCTTATTAACAAAAATGCTTTTCTACTTCGATGTAGATACTAGTATCTACATGTATGAGTGGCTATCTGAAAGTGATTTTATGTTAAAATATATTAGAAAATGAAGCATATTTTACATTTTACAAAAATAATACTTTTACTTGGGAAATCCAAAGACTGTGACCGTAGTCTTTTTTTTGACCATAGCAGGTTTGGGGTTTTTCTGTTATCTGTTTGTTTTGGTTTGGGGTTTGGGTTTGTTTGTTTGTCTTCTATACCTACATGTGGCTTTTGCCTGATGCTGACTTGAGATTACTTCAGTGGGAATCTCCCACACCAGATAAAGTCCTTCCCATTCTTCATTGTTTAAAAAAAGTAAAATACCCAAACGGAAACACTGCTGTGCATTACTGCACAGGAAACCTTTCAGTGTAAAGAAAAGAACTGGAAGAAAGCAACATACCTTTGCCTTTTTGCGCAACAGTTTTGCCAGACGCACCACATACGGTTTGAATTCCCTCTGATGTGTACCCTGTCTTCGTACTTCCAAGCCTGAATCATCTGATGCTTCTGGAATAAAAGCCCAACGATACCTGCCATGAGATAACAAAAGCAGACATTATCCTTACTGAACATGCAGGCTCTTCTGCTGGATCAAAAAAATATGAGTGGATAAGGAAATCTAGTGAAGTATCAGACAAGGAGTGGGGAAAAGAAACCCAAATCAACTCTCACAAGGGAACATTAGTCTTTGACAAGAAAGAATGAGAAAGGCACATTCTGAAAAGCAGGAGGTAATGTGGCCTTGCATTTTTCCTTTAGAGTTTCTTATTTAAGGATGCCAAGAGCAAGATAAGGCAGAGAAGCTAAAACCAGTGGTATTCACATTCTCATTCTGTGCAAGAGAACTGAAAGCAGTTCTGAATTACAAAAAAATATAAATTAATATAAATTACTGAAATTTTGCTGCACATTTGCAATGTGTACACACGAAATATTCTCAATATACCATGCTGATAACAAAAACTCATTTATTTTACCTATTCATAGGCCAGTGAGACCAAGCGGACCATTCTGTTACCTGCACCTTGCTGCATGTAAGGACTGGCTACTGGTATTATAAATATAAAGGAAATCAAAGTTTCTGTCCTTGAAACTTCAATCCAAGCCTCCATGAGAACTCCATAAAAACCAGTGTGATTCAGCATGACTTTTGTCTTTTCAGAAATGCACAGTAATAACCTAAATAAAACTAGATTGACTAATAGCAGGGATTAGGACAGCTTGGAGAACTGGACAAGAATTATGAGCCAAATACCCATAAAATAAAATAAATGAAGGAACCTTCAACATTAGCTTTAGAAATGTAGAAATACTAGAGGGCACAGACTGGCACTGCGTGTGCAAGTCCTTCCATCTTCTGACTCACACTGAGTGTCTTTTAAAGAACAGAATAACTAGGGGTGACCAAATGTCTACAGAGCTGTGTTAGGGCAGCAGCTCTCAGTCACCACTGTGCAGTGTAAAGGAAGAGACAAGATACTTTCTTTGGTGGTCTCTCATTTCCAGGGTCTTCAGCAAATTCCAGTTGTTTTGCATTCATTTTTTTCCAATGGAACAGGGTTGCAGAGGCACTGAGGAAGCAGTTTGCACACGTGAGTGCTACTGACCTTGAAAAACCCATGGGGTCCCCTTTTTAAGCAGTTTTGTTGCCACATCTTCCAGACAAATCATGCAGGAGTAATTTAAGCAAGTCATGCTGAGATGACATGCAGTCTTCTGATCTCATGCATTAGTCACTGAGAGTGGGTGTATTTTGAGTTCTCAGGCATTACTGCAACTAAGTACTTTAGAAATAGAATACTTGAGTAAATCACTACTACTGATTAGCTCACAAGTGTAGAGAATCTCTTGCCACAGGCTAAATCAAACCACCTTGAATTAATTTGATGTGCAGCATAATTTCCCCTGGAGGCCACTCAGATACTGTGAGGGAACGAACTATTATAGGCTGCCCTGGGTGAAGTCCAAAGAAAGAAAGGCAGTAGGAAAACAGAGATTTTTATACACCAGAATTTTACCAAGAGGCATGGACAAACATCCAAAAACTTAAATGACAGTTTCTTCTACTCACATCTGGAACTGAGGCAGGTTTTCAGATGGTAAAGCTAGGGCCAAGTCCAGAAATTTACAAGCGGACAAATACAGGTTCAACCACCTCTGGCTGTTGTAGGATGTGGAGAAGCCATTGCCACCTGTGTAAGTCGTCTCCAGACCAGCAACAGACGGGCCAGAAGTTCTAAAGCAAATCAGGGCAGGCAGGTGAGTCATAACAACCTTCTGCCACAATGGAAACTTTATCTTTCTTACTTGCCTTTACAAACATACAATTCTATTTCCCAGCTTAATCCTCAATTCATAAATCAAACCAGAACACTGCGAGTCTGTGCTATTGGCAGAGTTCTGTATGCATATACATATGTGTGTGTGTGTGTGTGATAAAAGGTTAATATATAATAAAACGTGTTGCCCTGTATCTTATTCACATCAGACATCCAAATTAAGAGAAAGTTTAAACTTGCCAATCATATCAATATTACTTTATTCGAGGGAAAATTCCTCAAATAAACAAAGAGACTCTAGGAAAAAAGTGAACAAGACTTGGGCAAATAAGTCTGGCTCATTTGAGAAATCTGCCTCTGCTGCTAGCATTGACTGAAATTGGATCACACTGTGCAGAAGGCAGATGGGATAAAAACGGACAATGAAACAAAAAAAATCACCTACCTCACTTTTATGTCTTTCTAATACTAGAAGAAACTACATTTTTTAGACAAAAAATTGGTCTTATTTAGAGTAAGTGTATGATATAGAAAAGGTATAAAGTCATGCTGTGAATAATTTAATTGCAGCAGCAGAGTCATTTTAGCCAGGAAGACACTGTAAGAACTCACACACTTGTATAATTTAGCTTAGTGACTTATGAGCAATCTGACAGTGGGACTTCCTTTATTTTGTCCTGGACAGTATGTCCCTGGTACTGCAGTTAGACTGCTACCTTTTATTTGTCCTTCTCATTTGAGCTCATCAACTCTTTCTAACACCACTTATTCTAAAGAATGACTCAATTCCCCATCAAGCATGCCAAAGGGACTGTTACAAAGTTTACCTGGAAATGTCTTCATCAGCAGTGAGCTCCTGTTCCATCAGTAAAAACACTTGCACCTGAAGATCAAATGCTACATTTTAATAGCATATTTTAATAGACTGTGACTCAGGAAAATGCTATAGGGAGGCCTGAGTAATATGTCTTAGACAAACTGTTTGGAGCTTTATTTCCAGTCCTGGATGATGAAATAACCCCCTGACACTGCCACCCTAAAGCTCAGGTGTGAATTCCCAGAAGCAACGCAGTCCTGTTGACTGTGGTACTTGTGTGAAGGCCAGGGGACAGCACAGAAATCAGAAGGCCACACTAAGTAGAATAGTTTTTGTAGTACTTATACTATTGACAGGTTAAAATGAAATGCATCTATTGCTAAAACAATGCACTTGATCTTTAAAATATTTTATATAGCTTTTCTCCTTCTATTGCTTGGATCTGTAGTTAAACAAGGGCTAGGTTAGGCACTTGCAGATAGAAAAAAAAGAATCATCACAGCGATGAGTCTGATTTACTATCTGTGTTATCCAGTCCCTTGGTAACTCCTTGGATAACAGGCTAAATGGATCACAGGATGCACCAACCACTCTCCTCCATTCCCATTGCCCAAGTTGAAACCCACAAGAGGGTGTCAAACAACCAACACTGGAGACTCCCCAGTAGCAGCTCTGAAAACAGATGCTTTTACTGTTTTGTTATGCAGGGTAAAACAAGAGAAAGAAAAAAATCTGAGTCAAGCCTTGTATAAATCTAGTCAATAAATTTACCCACAATATGATCTGAATGACCATCAACTGCCAATACAACACAGATTCCAACTCCTTTACCCAGGCTCCCATCCCCTTTGCTGGAGGAAGAAGGTTGAGTGACCAGGAAAGTAGAAACAGGGACACTACTACAGAAAAGCAGGAGTGGGAATGGTGGAGAGGGTACACATATGTAAGGAGAAATTTAAGCAGGAGTCAGTAGGGAACTATGAGGGCAAATGCAAATTTAATTCAAGAGACAGCTGAACAGTTTAAATAGTGTAAACCAACAGATATTCAGTTTGTTTGCAAAAAACAGACATGAGGACTATGAAAATAAGTCAGCTTTCAATTTGTGTACATTGTACATTTACGTGCACAATCTCTAGAAGAGATTGTCTTAAAAATATTGAGGAGGAGTGAGGCTGTGTCTCAGATATGCACCAGCCTTCCAAATAATGAATGTCAGCTGCAACTCACCAGTTCAGTGATCATGGTTGGCCAAAGTGAGGTAAGATGCTGTGGAGACATTCTTAAAAGCAATACTCTGAAAAACAGGAACACTTGGGAATGAAGGGTGGGCACCTGTGGCAACCGGAGACTTTCTACCAGCCTTTCTGAAACAAAAAGTCAAGAAGAATTCCTCAGTTCAGAATAATTCCAAACAGCATTTTCTCCTTCCCTCATTTACTCTCAATTTTAACTATTTTTTTAAATATCTGCCATGTTACAGTTTCAGTACTTTACTATTTTTATTCTGCCAATATAAAAAAATAATCATGTTCACTAAGAATGGAACAAAAGAGAGAAACCTCGAAACAGTGCAGTTGTCTATTTTGTTTAAGTTCTCCACATAAATGCAATAGTGTATCTAATCTAGGAGCTTTGCTCATCTTATGTAGAGCTTAAAAGAGGAGTTAACAGATTCCAAACAATACAAAAACAGCCGGAACAGCTAGGATTTATTATTATTATTAAAAGGCTGCACCATCATAGTACATGGGAAATTACACACAGACAATATGGTCTTATTCAACTATAATCACCTCTAAACTTTCAGCATATATAGAGGCAGGTCCATAAAGAATTTTTTCAGTCAAGCCAACATACATGCATGTTGCAGTTCAAACCAGTGAAACTACCTGATACCATGAACATAGTAATCTCAGCTACTGACTTGACTGGGAATTAAGAAAAACACAAACACACAACAAAAAACCCTAAACAACTTGAAAAAAAATAGATTCTGGAACAAATGAAACAAGAAAGATGATGCAATTGATTTTCCATATGGAAGAAGAGACCAAAGCGTCCACCTTGGTGGCACAAAAAGACAATATATCTAGAAAATTCTGCCGTAACTATTTACGTCATCTTAAAATAAAGCTAAGCAGTCTCCGTTCCCAATCACTTAAAGTAAAAGGTAAGAGATAAACTTCAGTGATAAATAGGACAGATAAACAGAACAGCAGAAAAAGCAGCAAGAGAAGTCAAAAGTTGAAAACTTCAAGGTCAGCTTTTCTATTTATCCCCAGCTGATGGGTGTTTATGCCTCAGATGTTCATATCAAAACTTATGATACAGGTATCCAAGGATATCAATCAAGGTATAAAATGACAGATCAGTGAAATAATCTGAATAAAAGTCAACTGATAATTACAAAGTATGTGTGGTTTGTAGACATTTAAGGCTAAAAACATTTTAACCAAAATCTGCAGAAACTCTGTTCCAGCCACGGAAACAGTACCACACACTGATATTCCAGGGGAAAAATCTACCAGCTGTTAGTCTGTCATACAAACATTCCACAGTTAACAGCAGAGTCCAGAAGTCCACTAAATTATGCATTTTTACTGACCTTGTATATCTGGAAGGTATTTCTGGTATTGGTCTATCTCACTGCTAAAAATTGCGAACGCGAGTCTCTTCAGGAGCATAGCGCGCTGCTCCAGCTCCACATCCCGGTTAGCAAACAGGTTGAGTGAACTGCTCTGAGCCACAGCCACTCGTGCTGAAAGAGGAAAGACAAAGTGCAGAGAAGAACTTAAAAATTTCCCTTCTGTTTCACTTTAAAGCACAAGTAACTCTTACTTTCTTTGCATTAATGAAGTTCAAAAGCAGATGTTGGGAAAATGCATGTTCTGCAATTTGTATTTTTAACCACAGTGATTTAAAATACATATTAAAAGAAAACTTGTAAGTTTTCTTTTAATGGCTGGGGGGAGGGAGTACAGTCATTTTTAAAAAAAAAAATTGTGTGTATAGGTGCTTAGAAGTTCCAGAAATGTGCAGAATCAATTTTTTCTTAAGCAGAGTTACTGTCAAATCTTAACAAACCAAAACAAAACCAAAACCCAAACAAACCAAAACCCACCCTCACCCACTCTGCTTAATCAACCTTGCAATATAGGCAAAATTCACTGTAGGCCAGGATGGCCTCAAATTCTCTCATTTCAAGTTATTTATGGATTTACAGAAACAAATAATCGAAGTAAACATGAAAAACATTGAATAAATCAAACAAATTGCAATAAATGTTAAACAAATGTTTTCAAAAAATTTTTTCCCATTTATTTACCATTTATATTGGTGAAAAGTCACTATTACATCAACAAATACTTACTCATCAAATCTCTGAATGTGGTTTTGTCATGTGTCATCAAATTATCCATAATAGCTCTCCAACTAAAAGAGGCAGATTGTACACAAATCAGAAAATCAAAAAAAAAGCAAGAATTTTCAGGAATATTTACAGAGCTTTTTCTGCTCTTTTAATTCAGCCTACAAATTCCAATCCAAGCTCTCTACTTCACAGGAACCAATCACTTGGTGTGATTTAATCTGAAACTATATTTCTTGAACCCCCTTGTCAAACAAAATTGGAGATGCCATTCAGAGGGACCTTGACAAGCTTGAGAGATGAGTCTATGTGAACCTCTTAAAGTTCAACAAAGCCAAGTTCAAGGTCCTGCACAAAGGTCAGAGCAATTCCAAGCAAAAGGACAGGTTGGAAAGAAAATGGATTGAGAGCAGCACCGAGGAGAAGGAGTTGGGGCTGTTGGTAGATGAAGAACTGAATTTGAGCAGGCAATGTGTGTGCTCACAGCCCATAAAGCCAAACACACCCTTGGCTGCACCAAAAGAAGTGTGGCCAGCAGGTCAATGGAGGTGATTCTGCCTTGATTCTACTCTGCCCTGGTGAGAATCCATCTGGAGTACTGCATCCAGCTCTGGGACCCCCAGCATAAGACAGACACAGACCTGTTTAAATGGGAGGACCACAAAGTTGATCAGAGGGCTGGAGCACCTCTCCTGTGAAGGATAGGCTGAGAGAGTTGGGGTTGTTCAGCCTGGAAAAGAGAAGGCTCCAGGGAGACGTTATAGCACCTACCAGTACCTAGAGCGGGTCTGCAGGAAGGCTGAAGAGGGACTTTTTACAAGGGCAGAGTGATAGGACAAGGGGGAATGTCTCTAAACTGAAAGAGGGCACATTCAGATTAGATATTAGGAATAAATTTTTTATTATAAAGGTGGTGAGGCACTGGAACAGGATGCCCAGAGAAGCTGTGGATGCCCCATCCCTGAAAGTGTTGAAAGCCAGGTTGGATGGGGCTCTGAGCAACCTGGTCTAGTGGATGGTATCCCTGCCCATGGCAGAAGGGTTGGAACAAGATGATATCTAAGGTCTCTTCTAATACAAACCATTCTATGATTCTACAAAATGCTAACCACTTTTTCCTCATTAAAAAAATAAATTCAATTTTAACATTTTTATTTTTTAAAATAGATTTGTGTATAAAAATATACCTTATGTAAGCAAGTTTCACATTTCATGCAGTAATCTAAACCACAGAATATCTTTCTTTATTTCTCTCAACAGATATCTGTTGAGAAACTTTGGTCCACATGTTAATGGTATACATAAAATTTGTAAAGGCCATTGATATAAGCAGTAGAAAGAGAGTCTTACTGGTTAACACATGAAGCATCCATCTGGAAGAAACTGGAATCCATGAAGAGGTCAAATGCTTCCTTTTTCCATGCTCTCCTTGTGTACTGATACCCGCTAAGACTGCTTAATAACTGGACACAGGCTCGATAGCTGGATGCGTTGTGAGCGCTAAACAAACAAAAAAGTCAACATAAACTAATTTTGAATTGCTGCTTTATAGAAAGTTTGATAGGCATCTAATCCTTACCATACTTGTTTCAACTTAAGTGTCACCCTCCAAATTTCAACTGAATGTAGAGATCTATGTCAATTCAATAAACTGTAAATGTACCTGTGATTACGGAGGTAGGGCACAACATAGTGCATAATATTTACGAGCAAAGGAATAACCCTCTCTTTTTCATCACTGTAGAAAACCATATCCAAAAGATGAGCCAAAACCTATGAAAGGAGAGGAAGATATGTTACCATGCATTCTCAAATTGCTTTTTATCTACTGTTCAGCATTTTTTTGTACAATGTTCTTGACCGAACATTATGATAGAAGTTATAAAATTTCAGGTACCATACAAAATCCAGAGTATAAAGATCCCATCATTTTTAAAACAAATTAAGGTAAAAGCATAGAAGCATAAGCTCTTGGTCAAAGCATTCCACAGAATAAGCTACAAACAAAGAAAAAAACTCAAAGACTGACTGTGATTATCAACAGTAAGAAAGATATACCACTTAAATAAGATTTAACACATGAAGTTTGCCATCAACAAAGTTTCCTACACTACACATCTGAAAGGCCATGCTTTATGCTTCATCCACCTCAACAAATCTTTATAGCTAGGTTATTAATGAAGTTTTATAAATTTTTACATGACAGGATGCAAAATCCATGCATATCAGTGTTTCCCATCAAATCTCCTTCCTCAAGCTTCTGGTCTAAAGCTTTTCACAATATAGAAGTTTATTTTAAGACAGCATTAATTACATCCAAGGAGACATTTACCTCAGAAAGTAAGGTCAATGCGTGGACACTATAAACAGATGGAGTTATGTTTGAAGTTTCCATTGCTGGAGACAACATATCTAAATGAAGATAATAATAAAAGTGTCCAAAGTTAGTTTTCTTAAGCTATTATTTACTTTACAGCACATTTTAAAAACATATACTTTGAAGATGAACAAACTTTTCTCATATTCACCGTTTAAGATACTAATGCTGGAACAATACTACAGCATTTTTAATGTATTCAAATACGGCAAAGCTGTCCTCTTTGTTGATTTTGGCCTGATAATTAACGTTTTGTTTGAAATAAAGATGAAAGTGGAACTACCTTCAACATCTGATTCTAAGTTGTTTCCATCAACCATAATCTTGGGGGAAGGCTTAACCTCTAAGTTTCGTCTTAGCCAAGTAGTCTGTTCCAAGGAAGAACCAGCAATCGCCCCAATGGCATCCACTATCTTGTGCGTTACATCCTGGTAGGAAAAAAACCCAAGCATTTTAAGAATTTTGTGCAGAAGGCTTTATTTATTGTCCTGACACGTAGAAAATCTATATAACCAAATACAGAATTGCCTTCAAATTACTTCTGTTCTATGTTATCAGTGATTAATAACTCCACAGAAAATGAGAACTTTTTCAACAGATTATAAATATTAGAAGAAGATACTAAAGAGTTATTTCAGGCTAGAGAACCGACATCAAAAAATTCTAGCACATTCAAGCATCTAGTTCCAATCCTCTGCCATGGACATGGACCTATTTCTCTAGACCAGGTTGCTCAGAACTCTGTCCAACCTGGCTTTAAACGCTTCCAGGGAAAGGACATCCACAACTTCTCTGGGTAACCTGTTCTAGTGCCTCACCACCCTCACAGCATAGAATTTTTTTCCAATATCTAATCTAAACCTACTCTCTCTCTGTTTTAAGCTATTCCCCCTTGTCCTGTCACTACATGCTCTTTACAAGAGTCCCACTCCATCTTTCTTGTAGGCTCACTTCAGATACTGGAAGGCTGCAATTAGGTCCCAAAGCCTCCTCTTTTCCAGGCTGACAAATACAATTCTCTCAGCTTTTCCTCATAAGAGAGGTGCTCCATCCCTCTAATCAACTTGGTGCCCTGCTCTGGACTTGTTTCAAGAGGTCGATATCCTTCCTGTGCTGGGATGTAGATGGTCTTTAAGGTTCCTTCCAACCTCAACCGTTCTATGATTCTATGATTCATTGTTCAGTATTTTCAAAAGACAATACAACAAATTTCTTACCTGGAGATCTCTTTGATCTTTCTTATTCTCCAGACTTGGGTTTTTCATGATGAACTCATTAAGAACGCTGAAAAAATACACAAGTAAATATGGATTTTCTTCTCATAATTCATTATTCATTAATTTTAAGGGTTAGGACAAATCTGAAGACATTTATTTGCACAGTACTATTTATTTTCTAAGCCTTCAGTGATTGCTACTTATCAATATTCAAGAAAGCATCCTTTCAAGTTCCTTAAGGTAATTTTGATCATATCATAAGAGTTTACCAAGAACATGTTTTACTCGACTATATATGAAAGTCTCTTTGGACACAGTTTACTTGGGAAGATAAATTTAAAATATTCAAGAAAATGGTCCCTGAAGCTTTATAAAGAAAATCATATTCAAAATTATATTTCTAACACTCTAGAAACTGTTTTCATGCTGAGAATTTTCACATACCTAAGAAATAGTCATTGTAGTTATTTTCTAAGAAAAGTCAGAAACTTACGCCTGCTGCTTAAAGAGCCTGAATCACTCAAATAATCAGTAAGGTAAGATCATGGCTTATATCATATTATAATATAAAATTTAATTTATGTAACTATTCCTCGGAGAAGAAACTGATTTGATAGGACCCTGAACAGAACTCATGCAATTACTCTACCAGTCAAAAGTAAGTGATAGAGATTTGAAAACACTAACACTTCAGTATGATTTCACACAGTAACATTTCAGCTTATTTGGAAACTGCAAAGATCAACAGCACTTACCCAAGTATGAGAAACTGTCCTGGAGCTGGAAGACCAACCTGTATGGAATCTTTTAATAGAAGCAGCAGTGCTGCCCAGCTGTCTACTAAGCTGGTCACTGGAATCCTAAGAGAGAGAGCAGCAATGTCGATGAAAACAACATCGTCTCCCTCAGGTACTCCCCCGCTGGCTTTCTACCTCACAATTGTCCTGTCAGATATTGTGAATCAACATTCTTACAGATTCTTTGATTTTTCATGTAATACTAGGTAGCTACATCAAGTCATTTAGAAACAGAGGAAGGCAGAAGAGCAGCATATTCAAAACACACGCTTTTCCCTCCAAGGTTGAAGTGCTACCAGTGAGTTACACCCCAATTAAGATCAGCTTTCTTTGGGCAGGGGACAGATTACCTGCAGGATTTTTAGCTGGGGGAAGAAAGGTGATGCCGAACTAGGAAATTCACAAAATAAATCACCTATTTTTTATGACACCTACAGTTCAAAACCATTCTTCCTTCACTATTTATATTACACGGGCTATTTCTCATCATAGAAATTACAAGAAGATGCAAAATATTCAAATTTTCCATCTGCTTCTTGATGGCAGTAATAAAATTTAACTTCTTTTCTTACCTTTGAGTATACGCATAGAAAAACTGCAACATGCAGACTTCCAATGAAAGATGTTTCTAGAAAAAGATATGAAACTTGTGTCATCAGGAAGAAAAAAGAGCCTTTTTTTGCCAGGGCAAAATTGACAATGATCTAATGTCTGAGTGTCTGAATATGCAGCTTATTTCATTAAGGTATTACCAAGTGACCATTTAGACATCTTTCTATAAAGTTATTCTTCTCCTTTTTTTTTAATTCCCTGTTTTCCCCACTTCTTTTTCCCACCTGAAAAAAATCAACCTGAAGCTAGGGAATGCACCTGTTTCCCTAATGTAAGCAGCTTATCCCCACAAAAGAAGGACTTGTACAGTGTTTTGTGCTATGTTTACTACAATCCTGCAGTAAACAGGATTCTGGAGTTGTTCAGCAAATAGCAATGACTTAAAGCTGGTATGACTTCCCTCCAAAAGTTCTTCCATCTATTAGATACTGTGAAAATTTTTGCAGTTTGCTGCTCAGCTTTGTGAATGAAGTACCTGTATCATCAATGTTCTAGGCTTCATTAAGAGAACATTAAACAAATCAGCAGCATCTCTACAGTTTTCATACCTTGTCCTTTGCTATGGCTGGAGGCTGCTTCAAAACTTCTTTCACAGTTTGTATAACAGTCTCTGTTCTCATAACACTGATAGAGCGAACCAGCTCGACCAGTAGAAGTTGTTCTTCACCTGCTGTAGGTATAACCTGAAAGAATCAAATGTATGTCACAGATTATCATCACAGACAATGGCTATGTCAAAATTAAGGCAGCTGGCCTCATGAGATTGAAATGATAGTAATTAACAGTCCATCTAGAGACTTGGTATCCCTTACTCTTCTCCTGGAGAATTCAGGAGGATTATCCCATTCTAAAATGGTAGCTCCCTGACAGTACAGTTACTAATCAGAAATGTAAATGTTGTCCATATTTCATTGTATTTTTTCCACTGCAATGTCTGAATTTTTTCTTCCTGCTTCTAAATCCCTTAAAGCTATTACCACTATTTGAAGTAACCACTGTAGTATAAACATACCTTTGTCCTAGAAGTATTTTTGTTTTGCCTCCTTTCATTCCATACAAATGCAATGGCAGCCATGAAGTGAACACCGTGATTCATTGAAATCGGACCCAAAAGTTCCAGGATCTGTTGCCTCAAATTCTAAAGCGTGAAAGCAGAGCACATACTCCTTTAGATAAACACCTCAGCATTATGTTTAAAACAACTAGCTACAAACCCATATTTGGATGGCAACTATCACTAACTTATAAAAATGGAATACTACACCAGATAAGCTGAATTCAAATGGGACTTTTTCATATACAGGACATGTTGAATAATCTTTTGAATAATAAAGATTTGGGTAAATTAAAGGAAAGCTGGGATGTGCAGAAAACTTGCCATGTTTAACCAGAATAGAAATGTTTATCTTTTTTTTCATAGAAAATAGATAGCATTATAGACCATCAAGAGTTATATCCCCATCCTTTCAGTGCATAGGAAACACTATAGGCAGCACAAATATGACTATGGATGCTGTCTGTGAAAAAACATGGAGTCTTGTTCCTTCAATCTGAATGACAAATGTTGAAATGGATATAGCAGCAGCATCACAAACAATATCTGAGACTATTCAAATTAACTGAGGAAATCTTATTTTAAAACATTTCAAATTAAATTATGTTTTCCTATTTAATACCATGAAATATAAGTTTGAGCTGATAAGAAGGTGAAACAGCATTCTCAGTATTATTTGACTCCTCAGGTTCTCTTTTTTATGATCACTGGCTCACTATCTGCTACAACATTTCCCCATACAGTGACATCATTGTATGGAAAGTGAATGAATAAAGGAACTAGTTCACAAGTGTTCTTATGTAGTACTAGATGTTTTAAGAGGACAGTTCTCTTTTGTCAAGATTTTACATTACTACTGCATATCTTTTGAAGCATAAAATGGTGGCTTAAACCTTTTCAGGATGGATTTCATTTTGTTTGCAGGAAACAAAGAGATGAGACATTATTGCCTTGAACCAATACACTCAAGTTTAAAAGTAGATTCAACATCCATTTATAAAAGCCTTGTTTGTGGGGTGAGTGAGTAGATGAGGACAAAGGTATTAAAACAAATTCAGAGTTAAGGGAATGGAATTGAAACTATTTTCACAGAGGTATTAATGAACAACTTAAATTATATTATCCCTGATATTCTGACCTTTGTTGACCCAAGATTAATAGTGGTAATGGATGCAGCAGCAGCAGCAGCAGTTTTCTCCGAAGAATCTGCAAGGTGCAGAATGCTCCACAGCAAAGTCACAGAAGACATGATCATATGCAAGATAGATAGTATCCCATTGCGTGCTTCAATCAAGTGCTTCTGATCTACATTAACCAAAAGCTAGTAGATTTTCAGGGGAGAGAAGAGGAGTATTAAATATCCACATAAACAGCATAATTAAAAGAGTGTAAACTGAGACTCAACTGACATGGAAGCTTTAAACCTTAACTCTTTTTCAAAACAGTTTGTCAGTAATTCTTATAGTGCTTACAAGTTTTGATTCTGTTAAAATAACAATTAAAGAACCTTTTGACTCAGTTGTGCAATATCAAATGTATTCTGAACATCTGAGGCCTCATGTCTACAGCAATCAGTTTTGTATCGCCTGCCTGTTCCTTTGCAAAACAATTATTTCAGAATTTTAAGTGTAACAAATATTCTAGGTAAAATTATTTACTTACACAAACAAAAGACACTTTTAGTCATTCTTAAATTAATGGAAGGGAAAGGGGTATAAGAACAGGAAAAAAAGTGTAAAAACAAGACTAAAGAGAGAAAAGGGTGAAAGCTTCTTACAGAATCTGGGCCAAATTTTTAACTGAGACTAGTCTCAGAATATCAGATCTAAAAATATTGCTTGACTTGAAAGACAAATTGTGAATTTACAGAAGGAGCAGAAAGATAATTTAGACATATTGCAAGATAAACGCAGAAAGTAATATGATAAGCATCAGTCTGGGAAGCTCCACAAAATAACAGCAGTTTTAAAAAGTGGCATTTTAGAGGTCTGAAAGTGAAGGAGTTCGCTCTAGTTATTTCAGGGTAACAAAAGAAAAACCAAAAAAACAAAACAACAAAAAAAGTAAGCAAATCTTAAAAGTACAATTCATAGAAAATTGTTTCTCTGTTTAAGATGTGCATATTATCAACAAAAAACAAATTTATAGCTAAATTAACATATTTGGTATTTTTCCCACTCAGATTTAATTTGACATGTACTGCATAGAAAACTCAGACACCAGATAAGTTTACCTGATGATACTGCGTAGATGGATCCAGGAGGCAGTAATGAATTATTGTTGTGATCCCTTCTAGTAAAGTAAGAACCATATCTGGGGGAGTGACTGATGCCATCCAGAGAGGCCTAAAAGAAGAGATTAATTTTTTTAACGTGGGTTAATCTGATGCTAAAGTAACTCCACCCAATCAAATGTTCTTAAAACGGTTATAGGACTCTACATACACATACCTATTATCAGATAATCCAGTTTCATATTTATACTGCTGAATTAAATTATCCAAGTTCCTGCAGAGCTGAAGAGTCACTGAAACAACCACCCTTTGAAGAACTTTTCCCATGTAAGGCAACGTAGAAGTGATAAGGCCAATCCACTGGGGATGCATTTTACAGGCACAGTGCTGGTGTAAAGCTCGTATCACTGCACAGAGAAACATGCCTTGGCAGGTTATTGGCTGGGAATGTAAATACTGAAGAGAAGTCATTGGCTGCTGGGGACCGATGTGCTCCAAGTCTGTTATGACAAAGTCAAACCCCGTTTCATTTTCTTCAGGCACAGTCATTACTCTGTGTTCCAGCACAATCAGCCGCTGAAGTACTTTTAAAAGTTGTGACTGCAGAGTACTGCCATTGTCAAATTCATCTTCAGAAAAATTTATAAGGCTGTCTTCAGAGAAACCTTCTTCTACAGCCACTATGTTTTTTCCAGCTATCTTTTCACTGTGCCATTTCTGTGCACTGAAGATAGAAGACAGCAGACAATGCAGGATCACTTTCTGGACCTTGCACTTGGACAACATGTCTGAAATAAAACTAGGAAAGCCTTTGGCAGAGCTTTCTATCACTTTTGCCAACTCAGCAAAGAGAAGTGTCAGAATTTCTATACTCATCATTTGCATATTGCGGTTTCCTATTAGATCTTGTGAGGTGACTTTCACATGAGTTGGATAGTGGCTCCGCATGTAGTATAAACACAAGGAGATAAGAATCTCTATGTACATAGAGCTCCGAAAGTTATGGTTAGAATCAACCGGGATGTGACTGTAGAAATCCTTGCCCATAACAGATATCCGATGCCTGGCTAGAAGATTCTGGAGCAATGAAAGCTGAGGAGTGTATGCGTTGTTGACACTGGTAGTGGAGATGGCACTTACAAAAGCTGAAGGATTTGTTTTCAGAATTGCTTTAATTGCAGAAAAAGCATACAATGTCCTTGAAGAGTCATACAGCTGGAGATAAAGCAGCACATGTTGATACAGTGGATGGATATTGAAGTTAGGAGATTTTCGCATTCCTGGGGACCCCACATCGCTTTCTATTTCTGAAATTTCTCCTTCTCCACAACTGTACCAATTTTCTAAATCAAGACCATCACTAAAAAAGACATTTGTTTGCTTAAGCTTTTCTGTTTGTGATTTCTTCTTCTCTTCATCTTTCTTTTTGGCTATTTTCACCTTAGGTTTTGCACCTGGTTGCTTACCAGCCTCTTTAACGATTGTTTCTTTTTCTGACATTTTTTCTGGTAGCTTTCCTTTAAAGCTGAACTGAATACTACTGTGGCTTCGCTTTCTGGACTTTGATTCAGTGGAAGAAAGAGTGAGATCAGAGAAAGATTGCTGGCTTTCTGCAATACAAGGTGAAGAGTTATTTCTTGAAATTTCATCTCCTAAGCTCTCAAGTCCAGTCTCAGTTGAGGCTGATAGCAACTGTGAGCTGCCATTACTAAGCAAACTACTCTGACTACTTTCAATATTTTGATCATCATTTTTTGCCATCTCTACAGAGTTATCCAAAGAACTGAATTTACATGAAGTATCCTCAGTGTGTATACTATCTTTAACTAGTTCAACTTCTTCTCCGAGACCACTTACAACTTTGCATATGAGATCTGTAACCACTTGTTGCACAATTTCATCAGGTGAGTCTTCTTTCAGAGTCTGAGAGCTATCTTGAGCACTCAGGCTTTCTGTTTCCACTTCATAACTGATGTTGTCTCCAGTAGATGACTGAGAACAGCCTGAGTCAGAACTCTGCAGTATTTCAACTTGATGGTCAGGAAGATCAAAATCAGACACAACCATTGGTATGGTCTCACTGCTGGTACTTAACAGGGAAAGCCTGTCACTCAGAGGGTTGACAGTGAGGCTGAAGTTCTCCATTTCATCCATAGCAAGTTGTTTTTCATTGCCTTCTTTAGGTATAATAAGTTGTCCTTGGTTTACAGGCACATGGGAAAATGCTTAAAGAACACAAAAAAATGTATACACATAAGATTTTGTTCTTCAGAATAAGAATTTAGAAATAAAATTTAGACTTTAAACTCTTATTAAGACTTCAAATTATAAAGACATGGTAAATAGTGTCTTGCCATTTCACAGCAGAAAAAAAAAATGTTAATATTCAAACAACATATTCATATAAACAAAGCGAGATTATTTTAGCAGCACACCTTAGCAATACAACATAATTCTCCCATGAAATATTATGCAGTCTTATCTGCTTTTGTTTTCATAAAAAAAGAATTGGTGGTATGCTACTAAAATTGCACAATATGTGCAAACACCTTCAAACCTTATTGGTATGTTTTCAGCCAGCCCCAAGTCACTGGTTATAAAAGCATTTCATTTCTTGGTTAAGCTTCAAGCCATATTCCTAATGTCTATCAAGGTTCAGTAAAACATAAGAAAATACTCTGCATTATAACACTTGCATATCATCTTAATTTGAGAACAATAAAACTTCCATGACACTTGAAATAGAAAAAAACCCAGACAAATGCACACATAAGCAGTAGCTATTCCAGCACCTGGTTTTTCAAGTTACCCTCAAAAATTTCTGCTGTTTTTAATGTCGCACGTAAACAACAGTCAAAGAAATTATTTAGGAACTTCCTACAGCCTTTTTGTGTACATACCATCAGCACAGCTAAACTTCTGCATGAACTGCTTTTCATTTTCTTCTTCGGGGTGATTGGGAGATTTAGTCCAGTAACATTCAGCCTGTACTCGCTGAACAGAAACCCGCTGAGTTTTCGGATGGAGAAGGAGTAGGAGCAAAGGTTCAAGAACCCTTGCAATATCATGTCTTTGAAGCACTTGATTTAACCAGGCTTGTCCCACTGACCATGTAGAACCATCCAAGCTATTGAGACTATCCAGCATGATAAACAAAGACCTAGAACAGAAAGATGAATGAATCTAGCAGAAATTCTACACTGCTTACAGAGTAATCCCACTTTAATCTGATATATGACAAATCTTAACATGCCAGTACATACTCCAATGTCTTCTCCATATAAACCAGTATTTTCTTTAGAATCCAAACTTTGCAACCTGAAGCTTTATATTTTAGTCTAGTCTAATGAAGAAATGGCCAGGAAGAGCTAGTAATAAGGTCAGTTAAGATATTTGCTCTAATACTAGCAGTTGTATAGTCAGTTCAAATATGTGTAAGGCTTCTAGCATAACAAGCTTTTGTTGCCTTCTGAGTGCTAGCACCATTAAAAAATATACAACTTTAAAAGCCAATTCCCAAGGATACATGCAAAAGAAAAGATAACTTATTCAAAGATTTTGTCCTCAAGAACAGAGAGGAGAAATATACTTGACAATTCAGCACTTCCTGCTGTCATTATTTTCTTTTTTAATAGTTCTAGCCTTTAGAATCCTTTCCAGACTTGGGGAAAAATAATACATATATTAGACTCTGAGTTTTACCTACTGTTTTACATCCTCCAGCAGTACATATTCATAAATTTTTAGCTGTGCACATAGAATTTATCACTGCTTATGCAATGAGTGATGGTATCAAGCCAAGGAAAGAACAACCTTTTTACTCCACTCCCTACAGCTAAGTATGCATTAGGAAATATAAATAAACACTTTTCCACAACACTTGTGCTAGCTAAGGAAGACAAAACTAGTTCAGAGTCTGGATCATTTAGTCTTTTTTAAAAAGGTAGTCTGATACCAGAACACAAAACAGAAATCCTCTGCTGCTTGCTATAAACGACCTCTTACACAAAACACACAGAACAAATTAAGGAAAAGAACTTTCATATTTTAGCACTTGCTTGCAATTTTGTTCTTAGGTTTTCTTAGTTTTACTGTTACTTTCCATTTCATATAATTCAATTCTGGCTTGGCTTCTCTCTCCTGCTTTTGTTTTTATCAAAACACAGCAAGAACTCAGATACTAGGTTCAATATACACCACTTTGATTTTAAACACAGTGATAGAGTGACCATTCTTTTCACATTCTTTATAGCTTCCAGAAAAATTTACAGCTTACATAATCATCATGAAAACAGTTTTGCCTAATACAAATTCACTTCTTGTCCTTCTTCCTTGCTCTCACAGTTACACTGTAGTTCTCCAACCTCTAAACACACTCTGTTGCCAGTATAATGTAGTTAAAGATTTTGAAGTAAATTTATTTCAACTGAATCATCCTTGCAATCACCAACCTGTCAAAGGTACGGCCAAAGGAAGACGACTTGTTAATATGAAGGTCTCTGGTGAGATGCCATAGCACTGCAAACTTAGCATGAGCTTCCATTCTTACTTTCTGTGGACCAAATAATAAGTTAGATCTATCAGAATATAAGAATTCCTGATAAAAACTGGAAAGAGTCATACAGTAGCTTAGAAGATATAATGAAATTATTAAAATTAACTTTTTTGACTACACATTCAAATACTATTTTCTAATCTTAAAACCAGTAATAGCCAACAATAGGTCTCTGTGAGCAATTTAGTACCATGAAACGATTCTCCCCCATCATGATCTTAAATGACTTAGTTTCAAAGTCTAGCTTGAAAAAAGTTTTAGAAATTTTAAAAGTGTGGTAGCTTGAACAATACTTATTTTACTTTCACAAATTACACAATTCTGTTTTCAGTGAGGCTATCTTGGCACTAAAAGAGATCATGAAGAAATGTGCAAGCTTTTCAATATGAAAACTCAAGCAAAAAGAGACAGAGAAAAGGCAGAGAAAGAAGAAAAAATATTAGCTATAGCATCTGGAATGATGGGATTAAACACAATACACATGGCAATAAGGGAATGAAAATAAGTTGGCTAGAAAGAGATAAGAATTTTCTAGCTAGATATGTTGTAGACAAGAGTTCTTCAAATTCAGCTCTGGAACTTTGAATTTTATTTGGACAAATAGGACGTGCTTACCGCCCAGAGGACTTCTAATAACTAGTAATAATATATAGAATATTCATAAAATTATAGAATATCATGAGTTGGAAGGGACACACATGGATCATCGAAGTCCAACTCCTTATATTTAAGGGTAAAAACGGTCCAAAGTAACAACTGTTATGTCTATCTCTTTACTGGGGCTGATCAAGGCAAAGAGGTATTCCAGCAAGGCTGCAAACAACAGTAAATGTCATGCTGTGATTTGAATACATGGATACAATAGACAAGGAAGCTACTAAGCAGTTGTAGGGGTGAACAAAGCACAGCAATCAGGATAATTACACTGAATAAAACATCAAAATTACTTTCAAGTACAATAAGGGTTTAAACTAAATTACTAGACGATAAGCAGAGACAAAAGGACAAAGATTTTCACTTGTTTGTTCTTAAAATATATTGTTATAGGGAATGAGCAATAGGTGTTTAACCAAAATGAGACAAAATTAAAAACTGTTAAAACCACTGTGACAGTTTGGAATACTTCCAGACTTCATTTACATCAATACAACTTCAGAAGCTTTGCAACAGCTAATAAAACTAGTATCTGCCATAATAACGAAAACTTTAAGTAAAAGCTATGAAAATTACAGAAAGGACACAAGGCAAATCACATTAGACAAAAACTAAAAACAAACAAAGCAAAACCACCACCCTACACCAGAAACAAAAACCAAGAGAGACAGCAGCATTCTAGAAAGTAAAGCAAACGTCACTTGTATTTAGAAAAATATGCTTCTCACAGGTAAATAACCCACAACACTGCTGCAAATATATACAGTTACACAAAACAATACACTAACATCTGCTGAATAGAGTGAAAATACCAATTCTCAAACACATACAGATGACTCCATGTGAGCCCTTCCAATCCATGCTGGGAAGATGTAAGAAATTACTGTTTTCACAGGAGGGTTGGCAGAAATGAGCAAATACCACATCCACAGTCACAGCAGTTCACAGACCCGCCTAATAAGTGAAACTAAAAATCACCACCAATTTTAACAATACAGCAAGCTGTGAACAGCAGTGACTGACAGAGTGGCTCACATTCACTTTTGCTGACCTGGTAACTCTGGTAGAAAGGCAAAAAGGTAACTGCTTCTGAAGTCACACAACCCTGTGTTGCTACAGTGTGTAACCATTCATTCTGTTGAGGCTGTGAAAACAACTCATGGATCTAAAATTTAAAGCACTACAAAGGCCTAAACTCAAATGTCAAATTGATAGTCTCTATGTGAAATAAATTTCTAGGTGAGGAAAAAAATTAAAGTATCTGTCATAACAAGAAGAACTCTTACTAACAACAGCAAAAGCTAAGCACGTGCTTTATATACTGGGAAGCATAGCATAACTTTTGATAAGATATGAAGTCTCCTACATAAGTCTATTGCTGAATGCTGAAAAATTTCCTTTGTCTAGCATGAAACTAGAGTCTCATCACAGAGCTAAAATAACATTTGAAAATATGCAAGGCAACATTTTTTCAATTTTGAAGTTATTTATACCCCCATCTCAAGGGACAAGTCCTTTTTCTACATATATTTCTATAGTTATATACTTAACTGGTTTTTTAGTAAATCTATGAACAACTTGCCTTGTCTCTGTGAGTCAGCTGCTGACTAATAACATCTTCACAAATGCTAGAAGATGGAACGAGGTTGTGCAGCTGGTAGAAGAGCTCCACACTCTTCTGATGATGCTGAGGAGTTCCATCACCCAACTGGTCCCAAAGAGTTAAAGCTATATGCTTTGTACATGAAAAGTTGCAAGAGACACAAGTGAATGACTATCATGTCTTGTTTTACTCTAGACTACATTGATCTCTATGCAATGACGGGAGACACTACATTTGAGGACACTCTGTGACCAAGAGGCAGTCTGTAAAATGGTTCCTTTTGTATGAACAGAAGAAACTGTTTTAAACAATGCAATTACTTGCTACACAAAAATTTCCTGTTAAGAGTCAGAACTCTTATGTATCTCTAGAAATAAATTTTCATTGAAATACAGTTAACTACATAATATACTCTGCTGCTGATTATCTTTTGTAAATGATCTCTTACATAAATTACACAAATGCAAAGACTGGTGTTTAGCAGTCATACATTATGCACATCTCAGTTTTTACCTTTGCTGATAAACACTGCTATTCGATCAGGTTTTGTTTATATGTTTAAAATATGCATTAAAACACAGATTTTCACTCATGTGGTCAGTAAGAGAATCGCAGCAGGAAAACTTACTGTGTATTTTCATTTAGATTTTAACACAGGTTACAACTGATATCAAAATATTCAGCAAGAAAATTTGGTTTACCACACCAAGGATGGTAAGGGGACCAAGACTTATCTTTGCCAGAAAGGTAAAGAAGTATAAAGAAAACAGCAATGAGATACTGCATCTTACCTTGAAGAAATCTGTCTTTTCAGCCATATATCTCAGATTGCCTTGAGTAAGAGGAGGTCTGATGACAACAGCCACTCTTCCCTGGTTAGGACTAAGAGGCTGAGCAGTTTCCACACTGTTCAGATTTTCTCCAGTGACAAGAGCAACAGATTGAGTCAATCCAACCAAGTCCATCACAAGGGAAATAGTAACACCCTGAACACTGAAATCACTTGCTTGCTTGCAAGCATGCATTAAAGTCTGTAGCCACAGTGGAGGATGTACTTGTTCACAGTCTGAAATAAAAATCACAGATTACATATTCATTTAACAATTTTAAATATTATGGATTTTCCCTCTTATATCCCATAACTATATGCACAATTGTCTTTTGTCTTTCATATTTTAATCTGTCCATTGTATGGGATTAGGAAAATGTATGCAAGAGAAAAAATTCCTGATGTATCTTTAAGATAATACAATTAAGAATGCAATACTGTATCACTTCAAACATTTAGTAACCAAAAATTAATAGAAAATTTTGAAAAGAAAGAGAAAAATAAATTCTATAGAAATGCATCCAGATGATTTCATGCTTTAGGCAAAACTGAACTTTTAGTAGTTTGTACATCCTTACATTCACTTTCCTCCTTCTCAAAAGTCTTGACCAGCAATCAGATCTTAATACTGTAGTTCTTAGTCTGAAACAATTCTGTGGTATATTCTATAGATATATAAAAATACCTAGGACATTATTATATATTATCTTATATATTATAATATACATATAGATAGAATTATTTACATATATAAACTAAGTTTAAACTGACAAAAAAACCAGAGATTTTCCTGACAACACTTTAAAAGTTTCTGTGAAAATTGATGTTTTGTGTGCAGAAACTTGATCCTACAAGACCATATTCTGTTTCACTGTAGGTGGTTGTTTTCCTCTTCTTACTGTCCCCTCACTTAATGTCATACTCTGGTTTGACAGTGGAAGTGCCTTTCTCTGAAGCGTGCAGTCAACTCTCCAAGTGAATATTGCACCCTTTTATTTTAGAGATACCAAAGTAACTTCTCTTAAAACTTCGAAAAGACTGTATTGACTGTGTTCCTAAAAAGGCAAATGCTGCTAGAATCAGACACAAGTGAAGAAGTGTTATTTAACAGAAAAAATACAGCACCTATTTAGAATCAAGTGAAGAACAATGCAATTTCTAATTTATATCCACAGTAGTTAATTTTGAAATATAAACTGAAGCCTAAATACTCCTAACAATTCCATACAGTGTTCTAGAGTTTACAGATATAACCATTGTTCTCAGCTTCACTTAGTTCCCTTTTTAATTTCTTCAATTAAAGACAGCTGAGAAATTAAGCATACAGCAAAATTTAAGCACAATTATGTTCTATCAATATCAGATTATTTTGGCTCCTTCAAATAAACAGACTGATGACTCTCCAGGGTGATTAAGAGCAATTGGGTCACACCACTAATGGAACCCATCAAAAACATGTTCCAAATTTAGGAACTCTTCAATAAAAACAACCTCTTCTGCAGTATAAAAACCCATATCAATGGGTGGTGTGAGAATTACGGTAACTATCTTCTTCCATTCTCTGTTCCACTGGAATTCTGTGTTACAGGAAGTAGCACTCCGGGACAGCTACACAGCCCCATTCCCCTCAGTATTCCCATATGCCCTGCCATTCTGTGCAACAAATGTTTGTATTTGAAACACAATTCTTCCCATTGTTTTTACCCACCTACAATTTATGCTTATTCTTCAAACTTGCACCGTTTAATAGACTGTAAAGAGGACATCACAAATGGGAAGGTTCAGATGATGAACAAGAAACACAAATCCAAGACATTTAACAAAAAGTAAAAAGGACTCCTAGAATTACTGCCTTCATACGAGGCACATACTACTCAAGCTCTAGAGGCTTTCTGCTCTGTGGTGGGCAAGGCAGCGATAATCAAAAGTGCTACATGCACAAACAGGTCAGAAGCAAACAGCTGACTTGTAAAATATTTTTAGCCTTTAGACACAACACTCATTTGTAGGCTGCTAGTTTTTGGGAAAAATAAATAAATAAAAATTCACATTTCCAGGGTCATATCCTTAGACAGATCTCTTACAAAACGTAGTAGATCTTTAGCATTGTAATACCCTTAATTAATAACAGTTACAACCAAGTTGCCTTCAACTGACATAAATACTTGATATGACTGGATGTTATGAAGTCAAATATGTGCTCTGCTCCTGGCTGTGTAATGAAGAGATATACACAACATATCTTAAAGACCACAGAAATAGAAGCAGCAGTCAAATTAACATGCTTGTTTCCAAAAGCCAAAAAACTACTCATCTCCAAACACTGCCCACCCCTTAGCCTTGAACAGATCTTGAAAATTGTGGATAGGAAACAAAAAGCTGCAACCATGAAGTTTCCTCAAAAAAAATAAAATCACAGAAGCTGACTATGACAGTAGCCAAAATTATTGTAACTATTTCTTGCATTCTCCAAGCATATCCACCATGACATCATTTTAAGGAGCAACTCTTAAACTGCAGACCAAAAATAGAACAAAAAAGTGGAACTGTAAATTGAAGACTACAAACTGTAAAACTAGACTGTCCATCTAGAACATACCATTTTACAGTAAACCCTAGCTGTCAATGTTTAAATTACATCTTTATCTGTATCTGAATGGTTTCACCTATCTGTGAACACATCCATACTTCACAAATCTCACCATTTTTATTTTGTTTACTAATGCAAGTGTAGCCTGAAGAACTTCTTGCAAGAACTGTTCCTTTAATGGGAGCAAAGTAGACTTAATGCATTTCTTATCTGGTATGATTTTTATTAGACAGCAGCTTACAATTTCCATGTATTGCCAAAGTGATCAATGCGCAAATCAATCTAAAATTGCTAAAATGAAGCTAAAAATGTACTTGATGTGAGCTGTGGCCATTACAAAATATTACAAAGAAAACATCGTGGATCCATACAGTAAAGAACATCTGACAATCCCAATTCTACTCTCAAGTTTCAGTTTGCATAATTTATATTTGTCACCCGAATATTGATTGGTATCAAATCCCATGCCAGCAATATTCTTAAAAACCTATGAGAAAATAATTTAGTTTCCAAAAAGCAAACCAATTGCTACAGAAGAAAACTTGCATTTCTGAGAACAGCAGCAAACAGCAACACACACAAAGCATGAATACTATTACTCTAATTTTTTTTTTTGGGGGGAGAGGGGGAATAAAAATTAATATCTTAAGATAAATAAGAGTGCAGCTTACCAACTTCAGGCTTCCCAGGATGTAATTCCGAAGTACGGTTTCCTTCAGCAATGTAAACGGGAAAGCTTGAACATTCAAGATACAGTTGACAAGCAGCAATAAAGGCAGGAAGGTACTCTTTTGGTGGTGTTTTCTTGTTTGTTTTCTTTACCTTAGCATCATCTTGTGATTCTCTGTCCTGTTTTGTGCTCTGTCCTTGCACTGTAGTGAGGTCCACCGGAAGCTCTGCCCCCAAGGGCTGAGACAAGGAATTACTCTGAATGATATACAGGTTGATAAATCTGGTTAAAAACTGTTGGACATACTCCAAACAGCACTGCATTGCAGTCTTTTGGATCGTTTTACCACTACGAGTTGCTGCCCCCTGTGTCATTATGGAAGGAGGCTGTACAATGGTCTCCTCGGATCCCACAGTTGATGCTGTCTCAGTCTCTGAGGATGTGCTACCAATAATAGGAATGCCAGGTGCACCGTGACCTTCATTCAGTGCTCTGTCAATGTCATCAGTTGTATCTGCCTGGTATTGTACAAACTCAGTGAATCCACTTTCCGATGATCGACTGCTTGGAGGATTTTCACCATCTTCAAACACATCGTTAGGATTTTCAAGTGAAACTGATGGCACCTGAGTGAAATAAAAGTTTAATGACTGTTCAAAATGGGTTATTTCAGTCTTAGTGAGAAAATATTTATTTGCATCTGCATCTGAAAGCAAAAAGTCTATTCCACGGTATTAAATCTATTAATATAAATATATTTTATGCAAAATGATGTTTGGTGCTTCAGTAAGCCTGCCAGACCAAGCTAACAATAAAAAAAATGCTTATCAAGCAAAATGTTTTAAATATTATTGCTTTTAACCTTTTCTTCATATCATAATCATGTCTACTTTATTATGAAAGAATGCTGAAATGTGTAGGCACAAGGTATAACTAATTTATACAGCATCATAAACCAAAAGATTCATACATCAAAGAAAAAACCCTTACTTCAGCAGAAAACAGGACACTGAACTATGTTGCATATAGTCATTTTAGCTAGCAAGATTATATTAATACTTTAGATTTTAGCATGTTTACAAAAGGACAAGATATTTCTTTGTTAATCTGCTAATGCTGCAGTCGTAAAGGAGCAACAAGTGCTTGCAGGCAAAGGAGACAAAAAAGATGTCAGCCAAGAAGAATGGGAAGATGTGAGAGACTATGTAAAAGTATACGCTTCTCTGATCATCCTTTTGAAGTTCTCGCTGTACAGGTAAATAACCACATTAAATATTAAATTATTTTTACCTAATGACTGTCTAAATACATTAATGGTAGAAGAACCACAACTATCAAAGTTTTGTCTCATTTGGAAGGTACAATCAGCATAATTTAACAGAACAACTACAAGTTGCCAAAACACCTTAGAAAGTGAACGGTGGAGCTGTAATACAAGAATAAAATCTTTCATAACCTAAAAACATTTTTCCCATTTCCACATGTATAGTAATAAAGCCAGCTCAATTTATCAGTAAAATGTATGCTCTCTGACTTCTATTAATTGTGTATGGAATCTTAATTTATAGCTATATATATGGCACAACTTTAACTAACCAGCATCTTTCTTCTTGTATACCAATCCCCAGATCTGGAAGATGGGTATTTTGTTCAAATACGGAGTTATAATTATGAAAGAAGACAAACTTTTAATTTAAAAACTACTAATCATTTGCAACTAGAAAGGATATAAGTCATCTCCTTAGAAATGAGAAAGAAGGGTTGTTCCAGAAACAACATTTCTTCATGACTCATTGTGTGCCTTAATTCCCCATGAATTCAGAAGAATATGTACAAATCTGATGAATGATTTCTCAAAAAGAACCCACAGTGACATTCTGGACTGTTCTGGCCCTCTGTAGTTTTCCTGGTAACTGGTAGCACAGTCTCTGCTTCCTTTGTGGAAGCTTTAGTGTGGAAACAACTAAAACAGAAATGCAGGAATCGATGGGAGTAAATGCAGGTGCTCTCATACTTCTGAACCTGACATCTTACTGGAGATGGCAAATGTTGACTGAGATCTAACAGGCTCAGAAGTTGTTTTTCTGTCTGATACCCTAATCCCTAGACATCTTAAATATGGAATTTGAGTATGATGTAAAAATACTAATAACTTTTTCTATTAATAAATAAAAACAGAGACATCATTATATATGGGAAATTATGTCTTGCTTTACCAGAGGTGGAGTAAGAATGAAAATCTGTTTGAGCTAGTATCACAGAAAACAGCGTATATAGAAAAAAATGCATATACTAAAAAGCTTGGAAAGACAAAAATGGTGACCCTGTTTTATTAAATACAATGTAAAATCAATTAGAAACATGTCAATTGAATTCACTCTATCTCTTTTAACAGAAACCATGGCCACATATGAGTCAGTTGTAATTGAAAGCAAAAGGTTATAGAAGGTTCAAAGGGCAACTTCAAACGGGGTTTATTAAAAATAAAACCAAATCCAACCAACCGAAAAAATCCACCCCCCCCACCCCACCCCCCCAAAAAAGAAAAGAACAAAACCAGGCAGGTATCAACTAGCTAGAAAGAATAAGGGTAGGATCCTCAATAAAGGATGATGGAGTCCTAAGGGACAAGGTGAACATGAGCCAGCAGTAGACCCTTTTGGTGAAGAAGGCCAACCACATAAAGGACTGCACTACCAAAAGTACAGTCAGCAAGTCAAGGGAAGCGATCAGTCCCCTTCTCTGCAGCAAGTTTAAGACCACAACTGGAATACTGTATCCAAGTTTGCACTCAGTAGAACAAAACAAACACTGATGTATTGAGTTCATCCCCTGGAAGGCCACCACAGGGGCTCCTGAGATAGAAGGAAAGCTCAGAGAGTTGGATTTACTCAGTTTGAAAGAACGCTAAAAGTTATGGAGGGAGTGAAGGTGTCTTTATTGCTGTCTGAGAGTTCCCATTAAGTAGTTGAAAAGATGGAGGTGTGCTCAGAAATTCACAGTGAAAGAACAAGAGGCAACCAACATGAGCTGCAACAATGGAAATTCTGACTAAATAACACAGGGCAAACAAACAAGCTGTACAGAGAAGTTGTGGTCACTTCATCCTTGGAGATATTCAAAACTAAGATGGATATGACCCTGAGTGGCGTGACCTAGCTTTAAGTAAAATCTAGCTTTGAAATTAGCCCTGCTTTGAGCCATGCTCTGCAACTATCACTTCCAACTTAATTTGTCCTATGATGTTTCCTTACTCTCTTCAGCCGGAAAACAAGGATTTCAGGGCATGTCACTTAACATACCTCACAGAGCCATGGTAGCTCTGTGTAGACCAAACTAAACTATGTTAAAAGTGAAAGAGTTGCTGGCTAGTTTGTTTCTTTTATTTCTTTATTAAATGATTCTAAGAACATAAAAGTGGCAGTAAAATAAGTGCTGGGCATTAATCCAATGCACATAAATTGGGTAAAAACAGAATTTCAGTATGACTAATATGTAACCAAAATGGTGAATTCTTTTGAGTCCAGTTATTCTACTTGATCAGACATGTGAAGCGCATTAGAAACTTTAGTTGATTAATTCATTCTTAGGCCCTGATTCTGAAGCGATTTATACATGTTTAATATCAAATCTGGATAAAATTCCTTAAGAATCAAGGTATAGTATCACAACTATAATTTCTTTTGATGATCTAAGTTTCTCATGTGTTGTTGTATATTAAATTAAAACCTAATTAAAAGATTGTAGATGGTTCAGCACTGACTTAGAAAGCCTGCTTTTCTTTTCCACACAAGAAGTATTTTTCCCAAATGCTGCAAAACTTAATTGGTTACCTTTTTATTTTCCCATTCTTTGATGGAGCTGCTGTGTCCACTAGGAAGCTGCAGGATACCATCTGTACCAGCAGATAGCAACGGCGGCTGAACCTTACTAAGGATCTTCGAGCAGAGTCTCAGAGAATCAGTAAGCTCAGACAAATGCAGAGTATTAAGGTGGCTTGTCAACGCAGAAATCATCCTGAGCAACAGCTGAGGCAAGTGTTCTGTCTGTATTTCAATGTAAGTCTCCTAACAAAGGAGTAGTAAAAAACTCAAATTGTAACACCAAATTCCACCCTGAGGTACCTACCATTTGCTTAATTGTATTCTAAACATATGGACCACAGAAAAAGGAAAATTAATATCTTAATATCCAAGAATAAGAAATGCATGCTTTACTAAAAATATTTAGAAAATTAACATTAAAGTTGGGTAACAAACAAATAGTAATATATTTAGCTCTTTTTCAAACTATTACATATTGTTCATTACATAACAAATACGTTACAAAACATAACAATAACAATAAAGAATGCTACTATTATTTTAATAACCTTAAGATAAAAGTTTAAGAATGAAAGATAAGTTATTAAAAACTAAAGGAAAAACAGGCTAATTGCCATACCTGACACAGGACTCTCATACTTCTAGTAGGCTTTAAAATGAGAAAGCAAAGAATTGAGGAAAGACAGCTATAGAAAAAAGTTCCAACAGTCTTTGCTACATTAAGCAATGACAACAGAAGAAGAAGATACATCTTATTTGACATTTTAAAAAATCCTTAAAAGAAAGCTGCACATTTAAACTAGCATATCAAGCTACAAAAGACTATGCTTGTAATGAATACAGAGAAGAGAAAATGAGGACAGACCAAAATTTTCAGGTATAAGCATCATAAAAACCACTTCACTTATGTGCAACCAGTCTATCAAGAATCATATAGTAAAACAAAAATTTCTTTCAATGGTGTCCACCAGTTAATGGCAATATATTTTCAGGGAAAAACAGGTATATATAGTATTTCTGTAGACTCTAAATATACAGAATCCCAATATTAGCAATGAATAAAGCAAATTCTTACCAAAGAAACAATATCCAACAAAAAATCCACTAACAAGCAGAAATTTGTCAGAGGTAACTCAGATTGCTCGCTATCACCTCCAGGCCCAGTTTGAAGTCTGGCATGTAATGTCCTCCTGCAAAATTCAAACAGGCTTTCACAATATTTTTCCCTTCCCCTTACATTGAGCATATTTATGTAACTTAATGCAAAGTTGTATACATCGGGGATGCTTATAAACCAATAAGCAACCTCTTTTTTACTGTTAAGTAGCTTATTTTGCCCCATGGCATTCTGTCAGAAAAAGCAGCAAACAGCCTTTCAGTGTAAAACAGTCTTCATTTGTAAAAAATTCAGGCTACAGAAAATTGAGAATGGAAGACAATAACTTACATAATACAGCAGCTCATGTAGAAAAAAGAAAAAAACCAAAAAACATTATCCAGATTTCATTTATTTATTAATAAGGCAATTTGGTATCCATGTTTACAGTAACACCATTTATACGCAGAGAAATACTCACCTGCTTCCTAGTTGGCTGTAGACGACTTTGTTTACTTTAGCAATTCAATCCAACATACAAAAATCAAGTCACAGACATGTTGGAAGGAATTTCATCTACTTCAACTTCTCACACTGAGCAGGACTGCTAAAAAACCTAGATAAATTCATCCACATCTGTCTAGCAGAGTTCTGGAAATCTCATAAGGAAGCTCCACAGCCTTCCTGGTTTCCACTGTTCCATCTCTTCCACTGCTGCACCATGTTCTTAGCAAAGCATTTCTGAAAGTCCAATCTTAACCTTTCAGCCAATTTTTGTTCCTGTCACTTGTTTTCCATCAGCCACTACCAAAAGTATGGCTGTATCAACCTTGGAAATGCCCTTCAGGAAGTCATAGGCTGCCATTCAATTTCCCTCTTTGCCAGGCTAAGCCAAGCTTACCTAACTCAACCTTCCATGCAGTGTCCTGTGACTGACCATCTAAGCAGTTCTCTACTAGAGACTCTTCACTTTCTCAGCACTCCTCCTCAGGAATGCCCAAAGCTGGACATGATATTCCACATGTGACCTTAGAAACACTAAGTGAAAGGAAAAATAACTTCCTTTCACCTGCTGCCCAGGCTCCTCATAACGTAGTCCAAGACACGGTTTTCTTTGCTCAGTACAGCATACTGTTGGCCTCATAAGACAAATTTGTGTCGAAATATCTTAATATATTAGTAAGCAATGAAAAAACATTTTCTACAGATTTCATTTGAAATCCCTACATCATCTATCCCTTGCTACAGCAACAACCCCTGCGCTACTGTGGTCCCTTCATCTGTTTCTTTTCCATTAATATAGTCAGTTATCCCTTATTTACTATGTCCCCTCCCATAGCTCTCTTTGTCATGCACAGAGTTCCCATCCTTCTTCTTCTGTAAAAGAGTGGAGGAAAAGACAACATGTTCCACAAGTCACTCTTGGTAAAGCTGACAGGTTTGCCAGACACCTGTCCTGGAGTAATCCCGTCCTGGACAGATAGAACAAAAACTAGCTTTGAGATCACTCTGGAGTGTCCCCTTCAGTAGAGGGGCTAACTCCGACTTTTGATTTTACTCAGACACTGAGTTTGTGAGAACTCACATTCCTGAAACCCACAACCACACTTTGGATATCGGCCAAAAGATCAAAGTTAAAGGGATAGAGGAGAAAAAGACTTACAGACTAAATGATCTCATAAGACTAACTTCTATGAAGAGGAACGTTAAGAAAAGTTAACTTCAACTTTACACATACAGAGGTTAAATATTATCACCTACCTACAACATTCTTCAAACCAACGAGCAATGTAATCCCACATATAATAAGGCTCAAAGGAATTGAAAAGAAGATTGGCAGTTTTAATCAATTCCGCCGTTTTCTTGTTTTCTCTCAGTTTGCTGAAAGAAAATAAAAGGAACATTTTATATTTTTACACTTCATTTTAAAGTTACGTAACTACACATCGCTGTGAGTTTACCCACTGCCAGTTAACACTGACAAATTATCCTCCCCTCATTCCTACAGTGGTTGTTGCTCTAGGGCTTAGTATATTGGCAGGCTGGTCATACCAATGTCTTTTCACAGTTGCTAGGTTTCTTCTCCATCCTTGCTTTAGTAGTTGTCTCTTAACTACATTTTTAATAAATCTGTTCTCCCATGATTTTGTTCCTACAGTTGTTTCTCCCACCCAGCTTTGAATTTCCCTTTTCTCTCCACCCTTTAAGATATTCAACTCAAATCCTGAAACACTTTATTTTCCACTCTGGCTGTCTTGCAGCACTTTTCATTTTTACTCTACTCTTTTTTTTTTTTGAAGAATGCAGATGTAAAGAATACCACAACTAATCAAATAAGCATTGTTGTCATGGATAAAGAATAAAACATACACTAAATACTAAAAAAAGTAAAAATAATAAAAGCCATAGCCCTTCATACCTTTGTGCTAAACATAGAAGATGCAATTAATGTCAATAGATCCTGTTTCATGAAGAAAACGAGTCACAGTCCCACAAGCTTCACAGTCATGATTTCAGCAACAAAGATATATTATTTAATACAAAATCAGGCTTTGGAATGGGCTGCTAAGGGAAGTGGTGGATTCTCCGTCCCTGGAGGTTTTTAAGATGAGACTGGATACGGCACTTAGTGCCATGGTCTAGTAACCACAGCAGTAGTGAATCAAGGGTTGGACTTGATGATCTCAGAGGTCCCTTCCAACCCAGCTGATTCTGTGATTCTATGAAAATACATTCTACTCATTATTCACCTGCTTAGCTGTGCGTGATCTTTGTTGAAAGATGGTTCTGCCTGAAGCTCCAGTTCTGCTTTGCACTGTGTATATAATGTTCGAAACACTTCAATCAATACATCCTCTAGTATGGCAGGGCCTATGGAGAAATACCAGTAGTCATGCAGTTGTATTATAGCACCGCCAACAGTCCACAGCTGAAAGCTATCCAAATCATTAGCTAGCTTTGGTCACTGAAACCATAGAATTCCTTCTGGTCCAACCTTGATTTTTTTCAGTCACCTCCGAAATTATATTCCAAGTTAAAAGGCAAGATATCCAACACTTAAGTGTTGTAAATACTTTTGTCCCACAGTCCTCTGCACTCATTTGGTAAAGAGGGCATTTAAAGACTTTAAATAGGGGAAAGGAAAATTAAAAAGAAACACCAAAAACAAATCCAAAATAACTACCCACATAACAAACAAAATACTTGCTTCCTTTGGATAAATTCTTCTGAAAAAAAAAAAACAACCAAACTTTTTTTTTTTAATATCTATCATCTCTGTGTGTATGTTAGAAGAAAGAACAAATTATTCCCAAAAACAACAGCTGAGATTTTAAAATAGTGAAAGTCACTGTTTGATGAAAGAAATGGAAAAGATCCAATCTGCATTTTTTCCAACATGCAGTCAGTTCTCTCTATGACTAACTTACTGTTTCCTGTGTAGAAGGTAGAAGAAATGGCATTTGGTAAAAGGTAAATTTAATGAATACATTACATTAAACACAAAACACACATACAGCTTGGCAGACCTAAGAAATCCTCACCCGCTAGTACTAAGAATATAGCTTTTCAATTTGATTAACAAGAGAGAAATATCCTCACAGCAAAACTACATAAAACAAATTAAAGATTAGCAGAAATACAAAAATTACCTAGTTCAGGCTTATCCAGCAAACTGATAAGAATTCGAAAAGGCTTTAAGTCTTGCATTAATGTGCTTTCTTCTCCCTGCCCATTAATTTGTAATATTCCAACCATTGCCTACAAAGAAAAAAAGCATATCAGGAAAACAAAAATAAAACCAGAAAACATTTTCTTGGAAAAAAAAAAGAAGCAATAGGAGTTGCACATAAAGGGAAAATTATTAGTGGACACCACTATTTCATCTCACTGCAGCTCAGTCTCTCCATGTTGAAGTATTCTCTCAACTTTGCCTATTAGAATATTTCTGTTGAACAGAACTTGATAACTTATGTATATTTAAAATCAAAATAAAATATTATACACAGATACCAACTCAATAATTCATCAGAATAAGACAGAAGACACGAGAGGTAATGAAGAAATTATTTGAGAAGGTATGGAGACATTACGGGCTTAATAAATAATAATCTGCCCTTCTAGAATATACTCACCAAGGTGACAGAAAACTTTCTTGACTGAATAGCAATGACAACTTCAAAACAAATGGGGAAACTGAGTTTCTAAACCAAAGCATTTTAGGGAATGAGCCAGAGAATTAAAAAAAGCCCAATGAAACAGGAACAGATTTTGCTTAGTTTTCTCTCTAAACTAGTTAGTTTCTTTTACAGTTTCTAAAAAAGGAGAACAGAGAAGAGAGAGGAGAGAGATAGGAAAGAACAGAGGCATGAAAACTGGTTCAACCCCACTATCTGCTATAAACCAAGTATTATCAGCCAGTATCCAGAAAGAAAAATATTCTGTACTTGAATATGCCTCTAGAAGGTCAGAAATATATGGAGATGGACTGCAAAACCAAAACACAAAGAGACTGCTAAGGAAGAAGGCAGAAAGAAGCAATGCTTTTGAAGTCTTTCAAAAGACAGAAAATGGTTTTAGAAGGCATATGCAATTTGTATTATGTAGAGCAGGCCACATGTTCTAACGTCCACAGTCTTTTCAGACAGGAAAGCTTTAATGACACCGATTAAACCAGAAAGATGGACAGATTAAAAAAGACTATAACCTAGTAACAAATGCCTGTAGGCAAAACTGTAGCTCATTCAGGGCTCTCCTCCACACCTGGATAATTTCTGAATCATCTGCCATGGGAGGCAGATGGGTGAGAGTGCCACAGAGGTCCTTGCTGCACTGGAATTCTGGGGTTATGTCCTCATCTGTACAACAGCAGATCTCACCAGCTTCAGATAAAACTGAAGTGCTAGCTCTGTGCTGGGTATCAGCTTTGAGAGTTGGGATGAGCTAAATATTCACGTGGCAAGTCAAAATATAAAGAGACAGCAACTTTGATCAGGATCTATTTATAAAGATATATACCACAATAAACCATCGTATAGCTACCTGGACTAACATCTCCTTAGAGAAGGTGTTGAAATAGTAAGTGGCATGCTCCTCGGGATTGCTGTGCCTTGTGCTTCTGGGTCCTACAAGGGCACCATTGTTATCAAAACCTTCAAGCAAACAAAAGACAAAGCAAATAAGTACTTGTCCCTTAACAGAATATATTGCCAATTTCTTTAAACTAGAGATCAACTCACTAGCACTGATAACTTACCAAGATGAAGTCCAAGTCATGTTGGCAAGAGAAAGATGATTTTATAGAGTTTAATACAAGAAACTAAGTGATACTTCCATGCAAGCAGTTTGCACACAAATTAAAAACTTTAGTTTTATGCAACATTATTAACCAAATTACATCTTGCACTATAGAAAAATGTTCACAAACACCATACAAACCACAGAGAGTATCTTAAAAGAAAAAAACCTGTTGCACAAAAATATTTCAGTATTAATGAGAACACAAAATTCAGTGTTTTAAATATAAAGAGATGATCATCAAAACACAATGACATGACTAAGGCACTTGGAGAGAATATCAGCCACATTACAAAAACAAAATCAATTTTGTTATTCAAAATTACATGGAGGAGATGGACCTTTGTATTGTTAGTTTGTATCTTTTCCCACAGAAAAAATAGGCTTAAGGAATAAAAAACCCCCCAACAAACAGGTTGGTCAGGATTTCACCCTGTTCCACAGAAACGTTTTCCAGTTTTGTCCTGAAGTGACAAAAATACAAGGAAAGCTTAAGAAGATGCATGCCCTTTAGCAGCAAGTTAAAACAACCACAGTTGACAATAGTTAAGATAACCTGATTTAAAGAGATCTAATATGATTTTTATTCCTAGAGAATGTTAATAGTCACTCTGAGCTATAAAACAATAGGAAGAAATAGCTAACACTGAAGTTAAATAATGTTAAACAGAACATCAGACTTCAGAGAGTGTTCCAACGTAACTGACCCCCCTCTCTCAATGTTTTATATTAGGAGTAGAATATCATAATAATAGAAAAGCAGCACAAAACCAAATGGAAAACAAACAAAAAACATATTGTCAGAAAGTTTGTCCAAACATATAGCAAACAGAGGCAGTAGCTGTTCACAACACAGGATCAGGAACAATCACTGCAAAACTGTTTTCTGAAAGTGTATTATCTTTCTATGTTCATGAAATAGCTGTAAAAGAAGGTTCCACAACTAAATACATAGCACAATATTTTAAACACATAAAATATCTTTTTCAATGATAGCAAAAGGCACATCTAATCCATCAAATTTAGATGAATTATTAGTACAGTGTTTAATATAGAAATTATTTTTTCCCTAAATTGGAAAACGCATGTATGGAGCATGACATTGCATTTTGTTGTCTTTCTTTAAAATATGACTAATTTACAAGTCAGTGTCTGGAGAAATTATTAACTAAATAAGACAAGATTTTCTCATATTTATCTTCTAAACCCCTGCAACTTCTACAGCAACAAAACCAACCCCCTCACTGTTGCTGACTTCATCCCTCCCTTCATCATTTCAGTTCTCTCTCAGAGCCCTTTACTACTCACATCCTTTCTTCCCAGTCACCCACAGGCTACCTGCCTCTGATGTCTTAACTATCAGCTGGGAAAGATACAAGAGCTGATGGGAAGGATTCTGGTAGCCTGAGAAGCACATATGTGCTTGCTGGTGAGCTGGGAAGTCAAACAAAAAGGTAACAGCAGACTGCGAAACAATCTACCCCTCAAGTAGAGAAACACTTTATGTCTCTCCATTCAGTTTCCAGTTCCTATGGTACACTTAGGAACTCCCATAATTTTGTCTTCTCTCAGAGTGAGTTTAAAGAGTAACTGGCCAGATTCATGTGACTACAGGCTTCATTTCCTTAAAATAACAAGGCTGAATAAGAGTAATTGTTTTCTAAAATTTTAGAATTTCTAGTCTTCCAAATATTCCCTAAATAGTTAAGGGCCTTCTAATAGCTATTATTCTCTGCTACCCTCTTCTGAATACATGCTGGTTTCATATAAATATTTAAATGTGTATCATATTGATATTATGCCATTTGGTAGAGGTAAAAGTGTATACCATGCAATTGCTCGATTTTTATTCCAGAAAAGTGTTGAAAAGTGATTGATGATCTGTTAATTCAGTTATGTAAAGATCTAATGAAGTTTAAAGACTCAAGCCATAATATCAATGTTTTTCAGCATCCTTTTCATATCTTCTATACTGTTGTATTCCAACTACCATTTAAACTCTATAATGTCTATTCTCTGTTTTCTTCATTTTACGTTTTCAGACATACAGAAGTTGCCTTTCAGTCTCTATTTCCATGGGCCTAGTACACCAGGCTCTAGCCCGAATGTGGCCCATAACTGCTGCTATAGGAAAACGCACCAATAATTTATACATATTCCAGCATAACATTCTTCATCTTCTCTGTCCATGGAGAGAGACAGTGCCTTTCTTTCTTATGAAGTAAATTAAGTATTTCATTTTTCCAAGAATCTTTCTCCACAATATCGCAAACACTGCTAAGGAACATACAATTCTCCCTCTACTTTTAGTGAACAATGACATGAAATACAAACCTACCCAGAAGCCATGCATAGAGCCTTCGGTTGAGTGACATATCCCTGCGCAGTACTACGTGAAGGGCTGCTGACAAAATTCTGATCATGTCTGGACGTGTTGCCTGAAGAAGTCAGAAACATGATTAAATTTAACTAAGAAAGGTAACACTTTTTCTATGCTATCAGCTTAATGGTCATTAAAGCATAGTTAATTTCATGTTTTGACATTTCTGAATTTGATACAAGAAAACATGATCTTGCTCCTAGGAAACCAAAATATAACTATTATTTGGAATAGATACTTTGTAATAACATGCACCCTTTACGAACAGCAAAAATAATTGACTCTATTAACAGCTCATTTTTGTTACAAGAGATTTCATTTTACTTAGGAGGCAAAAGCCTTGGAAGCAAATTCAACTAAAATCCAGTGTAAAAAAAAAATTACTAAAGAATTTTAAATCCCTTTCAGTTTCTTACTGCTTTAAATGCTTGCATAAGTGTTAATATTAAAAAGTGTTGCATTGATAATTTCATCACTCTAGTACCTAAACAGAGACAATTCAAATATTTCCATAGTCACTGATAAATGTGAATGAAGCACTTCCACAAGTAAGAACACTGTTCTTTTTACATAAAAGTGCAGGTTTTCTCTAATTTCTAACAAGGTGAAAATTATTCTTGTATTACTTTTCCTCCAGGAGTAAAATAAATCATGGATCTTTTAAAAATAGGAAGTGACTAACAATAAATGCTGTCCAAAAAAAACCCCCACAAATTTTAACATCTATCTCCCACTACTGCTAGGGCTAACTACTCACCCAAAACCAGTAATCATTTTCAATTCTCTAGTGTTCTGAATCAGTTATGCTAAGAGGATTAACTTTTGCTGGCTTTGAACCCTGAGAATTAGAAACTTGCAAATGAACAGATAAATTTGCTTTCTCATCAAACTGAAGCAAATTAAAAGCTTCTTCATAGACTAAACATGATAATTTATATTGAGTTTACATGTACAGAAGTTAACTTCAAAGTTAACACATCAAGTTAAAAGAAAGCAGAGATTATGCCATAAGAATAGCAAACCTATCTGAGGAACTCCTACATATGAGTCTTGTTCAAGCTTGGAGAAAATCATTAACGAAAACCAATGAAACACTTCTACTGACTTAAGAAGTGGAATATATTTAGGAGTTTGTCAATTCATCTCTCATGTTAATAACCTACCTGGCTCATGTGGAAAGGAAAACAAAAAAGGATAAGGTCCAACGTGCTCCTCTGTACTAAAACACTGGTATCTTGCACTGATGTGCTTACTGCTTCTACCTAAAGTAATGGCAGACATCCCGAAATAGTTATTTATTATTTTAAGAAGATAGATATAAAAGAGCAGACAAAAATAGGAACAGTTATTTATCAATAGTGGTATGTACAAAATAAAATTATTTTTAAATTTTGAACATTGAGACAATATAAAACAAAAAAATAAAAAGTTTCACCACGGAGGAATCACAGAATCAACAGATTCCCTGAACAATACAAAAACTAAGCTTTTGGTTTTTTATATTACCAATGAATACCTTAAGTTTAAAAGACAAAATAACACTCTATGGATTTTTCAAAAACATACAACAAAACTCTATCACTTTTAACTGAAGCTTGTAATGAATGGAAAGTTTTACACAAAACCTAAGCAGTTCTGAACCTAAGCAGTTCATTCAGCTTTGCAACACTTTTATCATGCACAAAAGCATCAGTTTAAGTGGACCTATAATAAACGTGCATTTTTATCTCTTCAGAGGCTGAGCTCAAAGACAGAGAAAACATCTAAATCCCCCCAAAATACATTACGTAATAACATCAATGTCTTCATTGTTCCACTAAAACATTACCATTAATTCAATGTCACTGCCAATTATGTAGAGTTGGTCCTCCATGGAAAGCTTCCTGTTCAAGTGGGAGAGGACATAAGTGATGCCAGGCAAGCGAACTGCAGGGCTTGTGAGCAGGCTGCCCCAGAGGGCACTGTAGAACGCCGACTGATCCACAGCCGAGGCAACTTTCTCCAACAGCGTGTTTGTTCTGCAGTAAAATCAAGTCAGCTGAATAAGGGCATGTATCACAGCTCATCCCTGCTCCCAGTTTTAATAAATATTACAATTAATTGTTCCAGGAAGGTCAAAATTTTGTTTTCAGAGGCCCCATTATACACTGAAACTTATAATGCAGCCTGAACAGAGTGATCCAACTAGCAAGCCTGTGGGCCAATCTGGCTTGCAAAATGCTTTTGCCTACCCACAACTTCTCCTTATGTATTCCTTATGTTCTCCTTATGTTCAAAGAGCCAAATAACCCCCTCATCTGCTACTTAAAGCCAAGTGTTGCTACAGACAGAGGTTTCAGAGAGACAGCAGGAAAGCATAGCTACTGAAGAATCAAGCAAACGGCTTTTGCCTTCTCATTCCTCGCACTGAGCCTTTCTGGTAAAAACAGGGCATAAAAGTACCACAATTCTTTGAGCACAAGCAATCCCTTCCCCTGTCTTCATTTCTTCCCATTCATGTGGCAGCAACTCCACACCCTATGGCAGGCCCCAGGAGGCAATCTGGGTAGCCCTTGTCCCTGTTGTAGTGATGCCAACTGCACTGTGTGTCTGCCTACATAGAAATAGAAGAAAGTGTTAAATTGCTCTTCACATATAAGTTGTGAAAATTCTTGTTTCTGAAGTTGGAAATATCAAGAATATGTAAGTACGTGAACAATTCCAAGACCTCCAAGTGTTGGAGTGTAACTTCATCCTTTAATATGTTAAGATGCTACCTCAGCACCCCAGACTCTGCAGTCAAGATAACTCAACTGGGGCATAGTCTTGCTTGATAAGAAGTTATTGCCTCCTGGGCCACTCTGCTAGAAATAGAGTAATAATCTATGAAGGTGGGTGAATTATTGTTGTCTTCTACGCGGGTGGTTCAGTGACAAATGAGATGCCACAACAAATATATTTTAATGATGTAAGCTTTGTTTGCTATCTTACATTCAGTTCAGATATGTATTTTAGACCAGAAATAATATGGCAGTACTAGCTTAGAGGAAACTCATGGAAAAGAAACAAGCAGCATGTTCCAAACGTGTTATATTTGTCAATCCATAAAAGAATCATAGAATTGTTTAAGTTGCAAAATATCTTCAAAATCGAGCCCAACCATTAACTCAGCACTGCTAACTCTACCACTAAACCCTGTACCTAAGCACCACATCTACAGTCCTTTTAAATACCTCCAGGGATGGTGGCTCCACTACTTCCCTGGGCAGCCTGTTCTGATGCTTGACAACCCTTTTAGCGAAATAATTTTTGCCAATATCCAACCAAAACCTCCCCCGGTGCAACTTGAAGCCATTTCCTCTTTTTGTTTCTTTGCCTGTTACTTGGAAGAAGAGACTGACGTAATATACTAAGTCTACTTAATGTCAATTCCTTTCAATAGGAGGAACAACTAACAGCTAATTTGTCCTAATCAATACTAAGAATCTTCTACCATACTATTCTAATGCAATTAATAAGACAGGATGAAATTAAATACCACTTATCTTAAAAAAATGAAATCCACAAGTATTCAATGAAAACTTACAGAAAAAAACCCAAACAAATCACCAAATCAAGCATATCACGTTAGTAACATATCTATCCTTACCTCTCATAATACTCTGATCCCTCCTCTAACCCAGGCAGAATCCCAGTTAACAGTCCTTGCAGTCCTGGTTTCAATGTTTTCCCCAAAGGCAGGTAATAGATCTCATACAGACTCAATAATGTTGGTTTGACAGACATAGCAGCATTGGCAAGGAGTGGAAATAGTCCAGAACTGCAAAAAATAAATTTTATCTTTTTTAAGGAAGCTTCTCATGTGACAATTTCATTTCTATTTCAAGAGTGCTACAGGCATATCCAATGTAGTTATTATAAGGATCAGATTTTTGTCTGATATGACTGACTGCATTTAGATGGACAAGTTGGTAAGTCAAGGCCAATATTATGAGCCTTAGCAGTACTGGGATAACAAGCACTGAAGGCCCAGAGATGACTCTGTTTTTCACCAATAAAACAAATATGATAAACCAGAAACATCTCTGCATGACAGAATGTTAATTTTGTCCATGCTGAACTACATCACAATGAAAATTGTATTTAAAAATACATTTGCTTTGCACTTATTAAGAAAAAACAAGATGAGATCAATTTGAGTAAATTTACGGAAATTATTTTCTGTAAGAAAAATAATGATGTTTTACTTCAGCAGGTTACCTAAAGGTAAAATTTACAATATTTATACTGTTAAGTAGCATAAAGTATATATTTATTTCATAAATTCAGTCTGAATACAGATTCTCCAATTAACAATAAACCCATGGTTCATGTTGTAGCATTCAACACCGGAAGTATGTTTTGAGTTTACTACGAATGTCAGTTCATGAAAGCTACAAATGTGATCAGTTCAGAAGTTACCCAGACACTGGAAACATTTTTGCTACTGCTACTGAATATCACAAATTATTGCAGACTGTATCGATAATCAAAGTCATAGAAGCACAATTGCAAT